TGTCCAAGGAAAGGTTGGAGCACCCTGGAATAGGAGAAGGCATCAATGACAGAAAAATAATTCCCCAAATCCTCATTCCTCAGGATTCCCCAGGCCATGGAATGGGATGATCCCGGAATCCTGGAATGGTTTGGGTGGGAGGGGACTTCAAAGCTCCTCCCATTCCATGGGCAGGGACACCTCCCACCATCCCAGGTTTTTCCGGAACCGCGGATGGATCCGTGCCCTCATTCCCTGTCCCACCTGGACACCACGGGAATCCCAGCTGCATCCACAGGGAAGCCCAAACCCCTTTCCCTGGATTTGTGTCCAATCCCACAGCTGTGGGAATCACCCACCCTCAAAGATTCCCAGGATCAGGGAGGATCTGGGATCCCCTTATCCCGGATCAGAGAGGATTGGACACTTTGGACCCTCTGGAATGCTGCTCCGAAATTCTGGTCCCATTTTCCAGTGGAACAAAGATGGGAGAGGAACCTTCCCATTTCTTCCTCCTTGAAGCTGGAGCAGGAATTCCCAGGATTTCCTCCCAGCCCTGAGGAATTGATTTTTTTTTGCCTATTCCATGGATATTCCATGGATGGATGATCCCACCTCATCCAGCTCTTTCCCAGTTTCCTCCTCTCCCAGCACACGGATGGAATTGGGATCCAACTCCCTTCTCCAGGTCTGGGACGGGAAAATGTCATGGGATGAGTTTGGAACTCCAAAATTTTGGGGAATGGGGAGGGAAACCAACCCAACCTCCTCACCCCAATTCCCTCCTTTTCCCGACTCCGGGGTGCCCCAATCCCAAAAAAAACCACACGGGAAGCACCGCAGGGATCATGGAAACCAAAGGAAAGGCCAAGGCAGTTTTTATTTACATCCGTTGTGTACAAAAAAAAGGACAGCTCGTGCCACAATCCGTCCCCGATCCCGTTTTCCCCCCTTTTCCCAGGATTCTCCCCTGGGCTCCGGGTCGGAGCTTGGAATGTCTCATCCAGACACGGCGGAGACCCAAACCCTTCGTTCACACCCGGGTTGGAATTTTGGGGGTGCTGCAGCACTGGGAAACACTTCCAGCAACTGGGAAAGCAGGGAATTCCCACCCCGACATGGAAAATCCAATTTTCCTTCTCCCCGCCTTTCCTGGAGGCAAAGATCTCTCAGGATCCATGGCAGCTCCCAAAAAAACATCTCCTGGAACATTGAGGGGGTTTTCCACCCTCCCTGGTGTCACCAAGGGGTACCCATGGATATTTTTCCCTGCTCTCCACAGGGCTCCATCCCACCTCCAGCTTTTTCCCGAATTTTCCCTCATTCCCTCCCTTCCACCGTGGTCTCCACAGCCTCGCCCTGGCTTCTCCTGCTGCTCCATCTCCGGGAGCTGATGGTTTTCCAACCGGATGATCCTAAAGGTCCCTTCCAGGAAAAGGGGGGGATTTTATCCAAGAATTCCCACCGGGATTGGGTTTTTTGGGAGGTTCTTACAAAAAAAGCTTCTTTGGGAATTCATGGGGCTTTCCAATGTCAGCCTTGGGAAGGATCATTCCAACAGCTGGGAAAAAACCTTTGGAGCAAGGGAATTTCACTCCCTGACCACCTCCAATGGTGGTGGTGGGCAAAAAAACTTCTCCCCCTTCCCAAAACGGGCAAAAAATCCGGGAAGAGATCCCAAGTCCAGGCGGGAACAAGGGAGGGAGGGACACCAAGTGATGCCGCAGCCCACGGATGGGTTGGGGTGGAATCGGATGGAGAAGACTCCGGAGGGATCCCCGCCCGCCCCCGCCTGCCCAGCACCAAATGAAAGTCACACACGACGCACATTTCCCACAATTCCCTCCCCACCCACTCCGCAATTCCCGGGATTCCTCCACGGGCATCACCTCCTCGTGTCCCCTCCGGACCTGGCTGACGGGGCGGGACCCACGCCGGGGGTGGGCATCCCGAAAATTCCCGCCCTCATCCCTTTCCCCCTCCCCACCCTCCCCCGGAACGACGACGACGACGACTCCGATGGCTTCACCCCCTCAACTCGTCACATCCACGAACAAAGAAAGCAGAGGAACGTCCACCATTCCCACACCATTCCGACCTTGGAGCTGCCTGGAAGCCTCCGGCACCTCCCCGGAGCTGTCAGTCCCAGCTGAGCCTCTTTACCTGGAGGCCTCTTCCTTGAGCTCCTTGTTTTTCCTCACTTCTTCCGCGTGTTTGTCCTGTGGGATCGGGAAGGAGGAGGGGAAGGAGGAAGGAGGAGGAAGAGGAGGAGGAGGAGGAGGAGGAGGAGGAGGAGGAGGGGAACACGCGTTAGCCGCGTTCCAGGATTCCGGGATCCCCACGGACAGCGGCTCCGGAGGGGTTGAAGGCACGAGGTTCATCCCAAGCGTCCTCTCCTCCCCTGGGGTCACTTTAAGGGCTGCTGGTGGCACTTGGGGACACTTTGTCCTCGCCCTCTGGCTACGAGGGAGACGTCAACCGTCCCGGGAAGCCCCTTGGAGCTGGGATTAGCTGGGATTTTTCCGGCATTATCTGGCGCTCTCCGCCTCTGCCCCAACGGAGGCGCTCGGAGAAGGGCCCTGGGCGGGCTCCGGATGTTTTGGAGGGAGCTGGAGGTGGTGAGGGTGGGATTTTCCGTGCGGAGGTTGGGAACAGACCTGATTCGGGAGAGAGAACAGGGCTGGAAGGGTGGGAATGGCTCCCAGCCCAGAGGTGGGAAAAGTGGGAGGGGAGCATCGGGGATGGGGCTGGGATGGAATTCCCAGAGAAATTCTGGAAATTGGGGCCACCCCTGGATCTCTGGAAGTGTCCAAGGAAAGGTTGGAAGGGGCTTGGAGCAACCTGGGATAGTCCAAGGAAAGGTTGGAGAAACCTGGGATAGTCCAAGGAAGGGTTGGAGCAACCTGGGATAGTCCAAGGAAAGGTTGGAGCAACCTGGGATAGTCCAAGGAGAGGTTGGATGGGGTTTGGAGCAACCTGGGATAGTCCAAGGAAGGGTTGGAACAACCTGGGATGGTCCAAGGAAGGGTTGGAGCAATCTGGGACAGTCCAAGGAGAGGTTGGACAGAGATTGGGGCAACCTGGGATAGTCCAAGGAAAGGTTGGAGCAACCTGGGATAGTCCAAGGAGAGGTCGGACAGGGATTGGAGAAACCTGGGATAGTCCAAGGAAAGGTTGGAGCAACCTGGGATAGTCCAAGGAGAGGTTGGAGCAACTTGGGATAGTCCAAGGAGAGGTTGGATGGGGCTTGGAGAAATCTGGGACAGTGGAAGGTTCTGGGGGTGGAACTGGATGATCCTAAAGGTCCCTTCCAACCCAACCATCCCGGGATTCTACAATTCCTGGGATTCTGAGTCCCACCTTGATGGGACATGGGAAAATGAAGGGCTTTGCTTGTCCGTGGACAAGACCCAGATCCCAAACCTCCAACTTCTCCCAATCCTATGGATCCATGCAGTCAGGACCCCCCAGTCCCAGTGGGTGGGAAGGGAAGAGGGACCCCCAAGAGCCGCCATTACCCCAAATATCCCGACTCATCCCAACCCCTTTTCCCGGCGCCCACCTTCTCCTGGAGGCGCTCCAGCATGGCCGCCAGGTGCGCCTCGCGGTTCTCCTTGTTGGACTCCATCTTCTGCGCCAGCTTCTCCTTGGCCATCTTGATGAAGTTGTTGTTCTCCTCGATGGCCTTCTGGATCACCTCCCGCTCGTGTTCCCGCTTTTCCGCCAGGTGCTTCAGCAGCTCCGCCTCCTGGTACTGTGGGGGGACATTCCCGGGATGAAATCATCTCTTCTCAACCCGAAAATGGGGGGGAATTCTCAATCAAAAATGGGAGGAATTCTCAACACAAAAAATGGGGGGAATTCTCAACCCAAAAATGGGGGGGACTTCTCAACCCAAAAATGGGGGGGAATTCTCAACCCAAAAATGGGGATCCCAAAAATCAAGGAGGGAATTCACCCACCTTTCTCCTCTCCTCCGCCGCTTCCAGCTTCTTCTGGATCTCCTCCAGGGAAGGGTCGCGGCGCCGGGGCAGGGAGGCGTTGAATTCGGGAATTCCGTCGAAGGACGGAGGCTTCAGGATGACCTCAAAGGATTGGCCCGAGGTGCGCTTGTTGAGCTCGATCACCTCCATGTCGGAGATGACGCACCAGGTCAGGTCCACCGTGTCTGGGTTGGGGGGAAAAACGGGGCACGGAATGAGCGCCAGGAATTCCCATTCCCAGATTTTGGCACCTGTGGGACCCCACGGTGGGATTCCAGCATTCCTGGTATCAGTGAGTTTCATCCAGATTTAGCCCAAATGCATCCCTGGGGTTCAGGGATGTGGGAAGTGGGGTAGAAAATCTGGGATTCCCATGGATGGGGCTGAGGTGGGAATATTTGGGAGAGCTGAGGGTTGGGAATGTCCCTGTCTCTCCATCTCTCCCTTCTTTGGGAATTTGGAACAGGAAATGTGATCCCTGTTCCAGTGTGAATCCTTCCAGATAACCTGGAGGAGCCACCCAAGGCTCTAAACATGAACTGGGATGAATCACCCAGAACTGAAAAATATGGATTTTACATTCTGGGATGATGGAATGAAGCCCTGCTGGATCCCAACTCATCCATGGGATTGGGTTGGGAATATTTGGGAGATCTGAGGGTTGGGAATGTCCCCGTCTCTCCATCTCTCCCTGCTTTGGGAAGTGGGAATGGGACCATGATTCCTCTTCCAGTGTGGATCCCCATGGATAACCTGGAGGAGTCACCCAAGGTTCTGGACATGAATTGGGATGAATCACCTGGACCTGAAAATTATGGATTTTGTGTTCTGGGATGAAGGAATGAACCCCTGCTGGATCCCAGCCCATCCATGGGATCTGGTTGGGAATATTTGGGAGAGCTGAGGGTTGGGAATGTTCCTGTCTCTCCATCTCTCCCTGCTTTGGGAAGTGGGAATGGGATAGTGATCCCTGTTCCAGGGGGGATCCTTGGGAGGCTCCTCCAGGTTATCCAGGTTATCCCTGGATAACCTGGAGGAGCCTCCCAAGGATTTTCCATGGCCTCTGGACATGGATTAGAACGAATCACCTGGACCTGAAAAATTTGAATATGGGATGAGGGAATGAAGACATCCCAGAGCTCCACTGGATCCCAACCCATCCATGGGGTTGGGTTGGGAATATTTGGAAGAGCTGAGGGTTGGGAATGTTCCCATCTCTCCATCTCTCCCTGCTTTGGGAAGTGGGAATGGGACTGTGATCCCTGTTCCAGTGTGGATCCCCCTGGATAACCTGGAGGAGCCTCCCAAGGTTCTGGACATGGATTGGGACAAATCACCTTGAGCTGAAAAATATGGATATGGAATGAAGGGATAATCCTGGAGCCTTCCTGGATCCCAACCCATCCATGGGATCAGGCTGGGAATATTTGGGAGAGCTGACGGTTGGGAATGTTCCTGTCTCTCCATCTCTCCCAGGAATGGGACCATGATCCCATTCCCTGGATAATCTGGAGGAGCCCCCAAGGCACTTCCATGGCCTTGGGGCATGAATTAGGATGAACCACCTGGAGCTCAAAAATATGGATCTTACGTTCTGGGATGATGGAATGAAGCCCTGCTGGATCCCAACTCATCCATGGGATTGGGTTGGGAATATTTGGGAGATCTGAGGGTTGGGAATGTCCCCGTCTCTCCATCTCTCCCTGCTTTGGGATCATGATCCCATTGCCCGGATAACCTGGAGGAGCCCCCCAAGGCTCTTCCATGGCCTCTGGACAGGGATTGGGATGAATCACCCAGAATTGAAAAATATGGATTTTACGTTCCGAGACGAAGGAATGATGCCCCGCTGGATCGCAACCCATCCATGGGATTCGGTTGGGAATATCTGGGAGATCTGAGGGGGCTGGATCTGCCCAAGCCCCTCCAGATCCCAACCCAACCTTGTGCCAAATTCCCAGAAAATTCCGGAGCTGCTGTGCTCCAGGGTGACCCTGCTCATGCTGAGGAGGGTTTGAATCCCCCCAGAAATCCCAGAATTCCCGAGACTGGGAAAGGGGGTCCCACCTTCGTAGGCGTAGGTCGGTTTGTTGAGGGGATCCGAGAGGAAGCAGGAGCAGAAGAGGGAGACGAGGGGCAGCTCCTTCATCTTCTCCTTGTAGGCTGGGAAGAGACAGCGGGATCGGGATCAGAGGGGCTCCAGGGGTTGGGACGGGGGGGGGAAATGGGATGGAGGGAATTCCAAGGGCCAGGGAAAGGTTTGGGATGGGGGAAAACTGGGATGGAGGGAATTCCAAGTGGGATCAGAGGGGCTCTGTGGGCTGGGGAAGGGGTTGGGATGGGGGAAAAATGGGATGGAGAGATTTCCAAATGTCAGGGAAAAGGTGGGATTGGGATCAGAGGGATTGGGAAATTCCAAATGTCAGGGAAGGGAAGGGATGGGGATCAGAGGGATGAGGTGAATTCTACATTCCAGGAAAGGGATGGGATCAGGATCAGAGGGATTGGGAAATTCCAAATGTCAGGGAAGAGATGGGGTCGGGATCAGAGGGAAGGGGGAAATTCCACATCCCAGGGAAGGGATGGGATCAGGTTTAGAGGGATGGGAGGAATTCCACATCCCAGGAAAGGGATGGGATCGGGATCAGAGGGATTAGGAATTTCCACATCCCATGGAAAGGATTAGGATCAGGATGATGGCCAGCCCCAAACATTCCAAGCAGGATGAGTGAGGATCCAGACATGCAAAGGGAAAACTTGGGAATGACTCAGGATTGTCCCAGGCTGTCAATCCCAGTTTATCACCACCAGGATGGATTTGGGGAGAATTCCAGGGTTGGGATGAGCCCGGGATGGATTTGGGGAGAATTCCAGGATCGGGATGAGCCCGGGACACCCCGGGATGGATTTGGGGAGAATTCCAGGATCGGGTTGAGTCCGGGATGGGTTTGGGGAGCATTCCAGGGTTGGGATGAGCCCAGGACACCCTGGGATGGATTTGGGGAGAATTCCAGGGTCAGGATGAGCCCAGACACCCCGGGATGGGTTTGGGGTGCCATGGGGGGTGTTTGGGGTGGCGTACCTGCCAGAGTCATGGCGAGGAAATCCTTGGAATTCTGCAGGAAGAGCGATCCTGGGCCTGCAGAGGGAAGGAAAGGATCAGGTCAGTGGTGGGGACCTGAGAATGGGATGGTGGGATGGGATATTGGGATGTTGGGATATTGGGATATTGGGATATTGGGATAAAGGGATGGGATGGGATGGGATGGGAAAACAGGATGGGATAATAGGATGGGAACACACTGGAGTGATGGGATGGCATAACGGGATGGGATAATGGGATGAGGATGGGACGAGGATGAGATGGGAAGGGATGATTTTGGGTAGGATGATTTGGGATGAGATGATTTGGGATTTGATGGGATGGGATGGGATAACAGGATGGGATGATTTGGGATGGGATGGGATCCATGGGATAATGGATGGGATGATTTGGGATGGGGTGGGATAACAGGATGGGATAATGGGGCAGGAATACACTGGAGTGATGGGATTGTGTGGGATGGGATAATGGGATGGGATGATTTGGGATGGGATGATTTGGGATGGGATGAGCTGGGATGGGATGATGGGACAGGAAGATGGGATGGGATGATGGAATGGGATGGGATAATGGTATGGGAACACACTGGGATAATGGTGTGGGATGGGATGATTTGGGGTGGGAATGCATTGGGATACTGGGATGGGATAATGGGATGAGAATGGGATGGGATGGGAAGGGATAATGGGATAGGATGGAATGGGATAATGGGATGGGATGGGATAATGGGATGGGATGGGATGATTTGGGATGGGACGGGATAGGATGGGATAATGGGACAGGAACACACTGACAGGATGGATGGGATGGGATAATGGGATGGGATGATGGGATGGGAAGGGATAACGGAATGGGATGCGATAATGGGATAACAGGATGGGATGGGATAATGAGATGGGATAATGGGATGCGAACACATGAAATGATGGGATGGGATGGGATGATTTGGGACGGGATGGGATAACGGGACAGGAACACACCGGGGGTGACAGGATGGGACGCGCACACACCGCAAGGACGGACACATCCCATGGGATATTCCTGGCACACTCGGCCCTTCCCAGCTCCACATTCCCAACCCACACGTGTGAGGACACATGCCGGGAGCCACACATGGACACACCTGGACACACCTGGACACGCCTGGACCCCTCCCAAATTCCCCCTGCTTTTGTCACGACATTCCCAGTCCTCAGCTCCCTGTTCCCGATGCTCCAGGATCCTCTCCTACATCCCGCTGGGATCATTCCCGGGGTCTCCAGGACCCTCACCCATCCCCAGGGCTTGGAATGGGAATTGGGAATGCTGAAAACCAGGATAATCCGGGCTGTGCCCCATTCCTGGGGTTTTTGGGTGTGGAAATGTGGAAACGCCTTTCCAAAGCATGAAATGAGGTGGGATTTGGGGATTATTCCCAGGTTTTGATCCCCAAATCCCTCCTGCAAAACAGGGATCCTTAAATCCTGGAATGAGCATTCCAGGGCTGTGCCACGCCCCACCCATCCTGATAAAATCCCAGCCCTCATCCCCAAATCCTGCTGGGAATCCCAAAAATAACCCGGCTGCAGCTTCCAGAGGCTGCTGGGGGGGTGGGAACAGGGAGAAAATCTGGGAATATCTGGCTGGGATCTGCTTTTCCAGGCAGGGATGGTGGGGATGGATTCCTGGATTCCTGGATTCTGGTTATCTGTGGATAACCTGGCTGGAAGCCATTCCCTGGCTCCGGCATTCCCACCCCAAATCCAGCTTTTCCCTGGGATCTGCACCAGAAATCCCAAAAATAACCCAGCCACAGTTTCCAGAGGCTGCTAGGGGTGGGAACAGGGAGAAAATCTGGGAATATCTGGCTGGGATCCGCTTTTCCAGGCAGGGATGTTGGGGCTTGGGCAGGGATGGATTCCTGGATTCCTGGATTCCAGTTATCCATGGATAACCTGGCTGGAAGCCATTCCCTGGCTCCGGCATTCCCACTCCAAATCCAGCTTTTCCCTGGGATCTGCACCAGAAATCCCAAAAATAACCCGGCTGCAGCTTCCAGAGGCTGTTGGGGGGTGGGAACAGCGAGAAAATCTGGGAATATCCGGCTGGGATCCAGTTTTCCAGGCAGGGATGGTGGGGCTTGGGCAGGGATGGATTCCTGGATTTCAGTTATCCATGGATAACCCGGCTGGAAGCCATTCCCTGGCTCCGGCATTCCCACCCCAAATCCAGCTTTTCCCTGGGATCCAGCCCTCACGTGGCGTTCCCACGGGATGGAACGTGGGGATCGCCCACCAGGGAAGGGAAACGGGATCCATCCCTACGGATACGCCTGGATGGGAGGGGAGGGGCCCAGCCCCGTTCCTGCCTGGATGGAGCCGATTTTCCAGGGATTTGGAGGAGGGAATCCCTTCCCCGCCCTGTTTCCAATAGGAGTGGGCTGTGGTAGGGGATCTGCTGGTGTCACCCCAAAATTCTGGTGTGGATGGGATGATCACAGTCCTGACCAGGTGATCCCATTCCCGACCACGTGATCCCATTCCCAGCCAGGTGATCCCATTCCTGACCATGCCATGCTATTCCTGACCATGCCATGCTATTCCTGGCTCACAACCCCCTTCCCGATCACATGACCCCATTCCCAACCGCACTGTCCTGTTCCTGGCCACATGATCCCATTCCCAAGCACACAATCCCATTCCCAGCCAGGTGATCCCATTTCCAGCCACGCAATCCCATTTCCAGCTACAAAATCCCATTCCCGGACAGGCAATCCCATTCCCAACCATGTGATCCCATTCCAAACCACACCATTCCATCCCCAGCCACAAAATCCCATTCCCAGCCACGTGATCCCATTCCCAGCCACACAATCCCATTCCAAACCCTACAATCCCATTCCCGACCACACAATCCCATCCCTGACCACATGACCCCATTCCTGGCCGCACCATCCCATTCCCAAACATGCAATCCCATTCCCAACCACTCAATCCCGTTCCCAGCCTCATGATCCCATTCCCAACCACGCCATGCTATTCCTGGCCTCATGATCCCATTCCCAACCACACCTTCCCATTCCCAACCATATTATCCCATCCCTAACCACATGATCCCATTCTCAACCACACCATCCCATTCCCAGCCACAAAATCCCATTCCCAACCATGGGATCCCGTTCCCAGCCCTGTGATCCCATATCCAAACAGGCAATCTCATTCCCAACCACGTGATCCCATTCCAAACCACACCGTCCTATTCCTGGCCACACGATCCCATTCCCAGCCACACAATCCCATTCCCAAGCACAAGATCCCATTCCAAATAATGCCTTCCCATTCCCAGCCACAAAATCCCATTCCTGACCACTTGGTCCCATCCCAGGCACAAAATCCCATTCCCAACCACGCAATCCCATTCACAGCCAGGTGATCCCATTCCCAACCATGCCATCCCATTCCTGACCACACAATCCCATTCCCAACCACAGGATCCTATTTCAAACCACGCCATCCTATTCCTGGCCACAGAATCCCATTCCCAGCCAGGTGATCCGATTCCCAGCCACACAATCCCATTTCCAGCTACAAAATCCCATTCCCAGACAGGCAATCCCATTCCCAACCATGTGATCCCATTCCAAACCACATCATCACATTCCCAAGCACATGATCCCGTTCCAAACCACGCCATGCTATTCCTGGCCACGTGATCCCATTCCCAGCCCCACAATCCCATTCCCAACCATGCCATCCCATTCCTGACCGCGTGATCCCATTCCCAGCCCCACCATCCCATTCCTGACTACCTGATCCCATTCCCAACCACACAGTCCCACTCCAAACCACACAATCCCATTCCCAACCACACAATCCCATTCCCAGCCAGGTGATCTCATTCTCAGCCAGGTGATCCCATTCCTGACCACATCATCCCATTCCCGACTACATCATCCCATTCCCAGCCACATGATCCCATTCCCAAGCACATGATCCCATTCCAAACCACGCCATGCTATTCCTGGCCCCGTGATCCCATTGCAAACCACACAGTCCTGTTCCCAACCACGCCATCCTATTCCAAACCCTGTGATCCCATTCCAAACCACACCATCCTATTCCTGGCTGCACAATCCCATTCCCAGCCACAAAATCCCATTTCCAACCATGCAATCCCATTCCCAACCACGGGATTCCATTCCCAACCAGGTTATCCATTCCCAGCCATCCACACGTGGCAGGGCTGCCTCCGCAGGGCTGCCTTTTCCCTTTTCCCACCCTGAATTGCACGGGAAGGACCCTCCCATCTCCCATCTCCCATCTCAACTCCCATCTTTTTCCCTGGAAAAAGCATCCACCCATGGATGGAGAAATGGGGGGGATTTGGAGGGATGGGGGGGGTCCCCATTTCCTGTCTGGAAAACTGGGAAGCTCCAGAGGGGGAAAAATGGGATGGCAGTTCCTTTTCCCCCCTCCTCATCCCTTTTTCCATTTCCCGGGAATAAAAATTCCAGCGGCTGCTTCCACCGGCAGGAATTCCACAGTTTGGGGGGGCTCTGGGTGGGGCCGACGCAGCCCCCGAGGGGTCCCCGGGGCCGTTGGGGGGTGCAAAATCCCGGGAATGCTGCAAAGGATCCTCCCAGGATAACAGGGTGAGGGGCTCCCAAAAGTTTGGGGCAGGGTGGGGATCCCAGGAATGCAGAGGGAGCGGGGTCCGCCCCGGGAATTTGGGACTTGTAGGATGCTGGGGGGGTGAAATCCCAGGATTTTAGGGGTTTTTGGTCCCCCGAGGATGCTGGGGGGGGGTAAAATCCCGGGATTTTGGGGGGTTTGGATCCCCCAAGGATTTTGAGGGTGCAGAATTCCAGGATTTTAGGGGGCTTCCAGTGTCCCCGAGAATTTTGAGGGTGGAGAATTCCAGGATTTTGGAGGATTCTGGTCTCACCGAAGATTTTTAAGGGTTCAGAATCCCGGGATTTTAGGGGGGGTTCAGGTCCCCCAAGAATTTTGAGGGTGCAGAATTCCAGGATTTGGGGGGGTTTGGAGGCTCCAAGGATTTTGATGGTGGAGAATCCCAGGATTTTGGGGTGTTCAGGTGCCCCTGAGAATTTTGAGGGTGCAGAATCCCGGGATTTTGGGGGGTTTTGGACCCCAAGGATGCTGGGGGGTGTGAAATCCCAGGATTTTGGGGTGTTTTGGTCCCCCAAGGATTTTGAGGGTACAGAATCCCGGGATTTTTGGGGGGGTTGGTCTCTCGAGGATACTGGGGGGGGGGGGGGGGGGGGGCAAAATCCCGGGATTTTGGGGGATTCCAGTCCTGTGAGGATTTTGAGAGTGCAGAATCCCAGGATTTTGGGGGGATTTGGTCCCTTGAATATGATGGGGGGTGCAGAATCCCAGGATTTTGGGGGGGGGGGGGGATTCTGGTCCCCCAAGGATTTTGAGGGTGCAGGATCCCGGGATTTTGGGGGGGGGTTTGGGTCCCCCGAGGATTTTGAGGGTGCAGAATCCCGGGATTTTGGGAGCTTCTGGTCCCCCCGAGGATGCTGTGGGGGGTGAAATCCCGGGATTTTGGGGGGGGTTCCAGTCCCCCGAGGATTTTGAGGGTGCAGAATTCCAGGATTCTCAGGGGGTTTTGGTCCCCCGAGAATTTTTAGGGCACAAAATCCAGGGATTTTGGGGGGTGTTCCAGTCCCCCAAGGATTTTGAGGGTGCAAAATCCCGGGATTTTGGGGGGGGGTTTGGTCCCCTGAATATGATGGGGGGTGCAGAATCCCGGGATTCTGGGGGGAGTTTGGTCCCCCAAGGATTTTGAGGGTGCAGAACCCCGGGATTTTGGGGGATGCTGGAATGGGGGTCCCCAAGGATCCCAGAAAAGCGGAGGGGTCCCCTAAAGTATTTTGGGGGTGGGGGGGATTCTGCAGATCCCCGGAAAATTCTGGGAATTTTGGGGGTGCAGAATCCCTGAAGAATTCTGGGGGTGCGGAGCCCCCGAGGACGCTGATCCCCCCCAAAACCCAAACTGGGGGGCGGCAGCTGAGGATGAGGATGATAAGGATGAGGATGAGGATGAGGATGAGGATGAGGATGAGGATGAGGCGGGGGGTGGGGGGGGGAATCTCCATAAGGAATGGGATAAGGAATTCCAGACGTCTGGAAAACGCCCCCCGCCCCAAAAAAATCTGCCATACTTCAACTCCCCCCACACCCCCAAATCCATTCGAACCCTCCTGCCCTGAACGGAACCGGCCAAAATTTCCCAAAAAACCCCCAACAAAATAATCCCAAAAAATGCCCCAAAAATTTAAAAAAAAATTCCCAAAAAATCCCCCAAAAATTCACAAAATAATCCCAAAAATGCCTCAAAAATTCTCAAAAAATTCCCAAAAATTCCTGCAGGGGCTGCCGGACTCACACCAAGGCGGTGGTCGCGCTCCTCCTCTCCCCACATCCTTTACGCCCCCCCGCCCCAAAAATTGCCATACATCAACGCCCTCCACCCCAAATCCATCCTAACCCTCCTACCCTGAACAGAACCGGCAAAAATTCCCCAAAAATGCCCCAAAAATGCCCCCAAAAATTCCTATAAAATTCCAGCTGTCGGACTCACCCCACGGTGGTGGTTGCGGGGCTCCTCTCCCTAAACCCTTTTTTCCCCCAAAAATAATTTCCATACATCAACGCCCCCCACCCCAAATCCATCCAAACCCTCCTGCCCTGAATGGAACCGGCCAAAATTCCCAAAAAATTCCCAAAAATTCCATGGGGGACTGCCGGACTCACCCCACGGCGGTGGTCGCGCTGCTCCTGGTGCTCTCCCGGCTCCTTTAACGCGGCTTTGGAAGATCCCGGGCGGGGGGTCCCCAGCGCCCCCCATGACATCATCGCCCGGGCCTCTGATTGGTCGAGAGCCCCGTGCGAATGAGGGCCCCGCCCGGTGACGTCACAGCCCGCAGCTATTTTGGGGTTGGAGCAGGGAAAAGGGAAAAAAAGGGGAAAAAAAAGGATGGGTGGAAAAATTGGGGGTTTTAAAAGAAAAAGGGGTTTTGGGGTGAAAAATGGGGATTTTGGGGGTGGATTGGAAGGGGGGATGCGGAGCGGGGCGGAGATGGGGGGGACAAAGTGACAAAGGGACACGGAGGGGTTTGGGGCGTCGCAAGGGGGGAGACGTGTCCCCGGTCCCTGCTTGTCACATCGCGGGGACATTGGGGTGTCCCCTGAATTTGGGGGGCAGTGGGGTGACATCGATATGGGGGGGGACAATGAGGGGATATCGATATGGGGGGGGACAATGGGGTGACATTTTCCGGGTGGGGGGGCAATGGGGTGACGTCGATATCGGGGGGGACAATGAGGTGACATCGGTATGGGGGAGACAATGGGGTGGCATTGATATGGGGGGACAATCAGGTGAAGTCGATATGGGGGGACAATGGGGGTGACATCAATGTTGGGGGTACAATGGGGGTGACAACTTCAGGGTGGGGGAAAATGGGGTGACATCGATATAGGGGACAATCAGGTGACATTGATATGGGGGGACACTGGGGTGACAACTGCAGGGTGGGGGACAATGGGGTGACATCAATATGGGGAGACAATGAGGTGACATCGATGTGGGGGGGGCAATGGGGTGACATCAATATAGGGGACAACGAAGTGACACTAATATGGGGGGGACAATGGGGTGACATCGATATAGGGGGACAGTCAGGTGACATCGATATGGGGGGGACTGTGGGGTGGCATCAATATGGGGGGGGAAATTGAGGTGACATTGATATGGGGGACAATGGGGGAACAATGAGGTGACATCAATATGGGGGAGGAACAATGCGGTGACATCGACATCGATATGGCGGGGATAGTCAGGTGACATTGATATGGGGGGGACAACGGGGTGACATCAATATGGGGGACGATGGGGTGACATCGATATGGGGGGACAATGGGGTGACATTTCCAGGGTGGGGGGGACAATGGGGTGACAACTCCCAGGTGGGGGGGACAATGGGGTGACATTGATATGGGGGACAATGGGGTGACATTGATATGGGGGGGACAATGGGGTGACAATGAGGTGACATTGCAATGGGGATGACAATGGGGTGACGTGGATATAGGGGGACAATGGGGGTGATATGGGGGGATGGTCAGGTGACATCAATATGGGGGGGAAATGGGGTGACAACTCCATGGTGGGGGGACAATGGGGTGACATCGATATCAAGGGGGGGACAATGGGGTGACATCGATATGAAGGGACAATGGGGTGACATCAGTATGGGGGGGACAATGGGGTGACATCAATATGGGGGGACAATAGGGTGACACCGGTATGGGGGGACAATGGGGGTGACATCAATATGGGGGGACAATAGGGTGACACCGATATGGGGGGACAATGGGGGTGACATTGATATGGTGGTGACAATGGGGTGACATTTCCAGGGTGGGGGACAATGGGGTGACATCGATATGTGGGGACAATGGGGTGACATCAATATGGGGGGACAATAGGGTGACACCAATATGGGGGGACAATGGGGTGTCCCCTCCATCCCAGGGGACAATGGGGGTGACATTTTCAGAGTGGGGGGACAATATGGTGACATCGATAGGCGGGGAGGGACAATGGGGGTGACATTGATATAGGGGACAACGGGGTGACATTTCCAGGATTTGGGGACAATGGGGGTGCCCCCTCCATGCTGAGGGACAATGGGGTGTCATCTCTGAGATAATGGGGTGACATCTCCAAGGTGTGGGGACAACGGGGTGCCCCCTCCATGCTGAGGGACAATGGGGTGACATCTCCAAGATTTGGGGACAATGGGGTGACATCTCTGAGATCTGGGGACAGTGGGGTCTCCTCTCCATCCTGAGGGACAATGGGGTGTCATCTCTGAGATAATGGGGTGACTCCTCAAGGATTTGGGGGTGACATCTCCAAGATTTGGGGACAATGGGGCGTCCTGTCCATCCCAGGGGACAATGGGGTGTCCCCTCTATCCTGAGGAAAAATGAGGTGACCTCTCCAAGATTTGGGGACAATGGGGTGTCCCCTCCATCCTGGCCTGTCCCCAGCCCATGTCCCAATCCCAATCCCACCCTGTCCCACCATTCCCAGCCCTACATTCCCACCCGGACTCGTCGTCCTCCGTCCCCAATTTGGGGACACGGAGAGGCCAAGCCCCAGATCCCAAAACTATTTTGGGGTGAGCGGAGTCTCCAGGGAATCCCTGAGGAATGAGGGCACCTCTGGAGTGCCGAGTCCTTCCTAAATTCCGGCTCTCCTTGCCCAAATCCGCCTCATCCCGGCCTATTTTCCATCGGTCACATTTTGGGCACCTCTGGGAATCTTCCCGGTATTTTTAGGTTCTGGATTTCTCCGTCACGTTTTGGGGGACACTCTGGAAAAAGGATTTAGGGTAGGCAGGATATTGGGAAGGACGGGATGGCCCCCTTAGAATTTGGGGAGGAATTGGGGTATTCCTGCTCTTCTTTCCCAAATCCGCCTCATCCCGGCCTATTTCACTCCAGCACCTCTGGGAATCATCCCGGTATTTTTAGGATCTGGATTTCTCCATCACGTTTTGGGGACGTGGATCGCTCCGGAAAAGGGATTTAGGGTGGATTTTAGCGGAGAACAGGATATCGGGAAGGACAGGGTGTCCCCGTTGGAAATTTTGGGGTGAATTGGGGCGTTCCAGCTCTCCTTCCTCAAATCCTCCTCATCCCGGCCTATTTCCCACTGGTCACCTCTGGGAATCATCCCGATATTTTTAGGTTCTGGATTTCTCCATCACTTTTTGGGGACACGGGTGGCTCTGGAAAAGGGATTTAGGGTGGGTTTGGGGTGGGTTTGGATATCGGAAGGATGGGATGGCCCTGTTGGAATTTTTGGGGAGGAATTGGTTATTCTGGCTCTCCTTCTCCAAATCCGCCTCATCCCGGCCTATTTTCCACCAGCACCTCTGGGAATCATCCGGTATTTTTAGGTTCTGGACGTCTCTGTCACGTTTTGGGGACACTCTGGAAAAAGGATTTAGGGTAGGCAGGATATCAGGAAGGGCAGGATGGACCTGTTAAAATTTGGGGAGGAATTGGTTATTCCAGCTCTCCTTCCCCAAATCCGCCTCATCCCGGCCCGTTTTCCCCCGGTCATCTCAGGGAATCATCCCAGTACTTTTAGGATCTGGATTTCTCCATCACGTTTTGGGGATGCGGATCGCTCTGGAAAAGGGACTTAGGGTGGGGGTTTGGGTGGGGCAGGATGTTGGGAAGGACAGGATGTCCCCATTGGAATTTTGGGGGTAAATTGGAATTTTGCGGCTCGAGAATGTTCGATTTCAGGTTGGATGGGTATTGAAGAAATCTGAGATTGGGGAAGGCATCCTTGGGGTGGGACTTAAGGACCATCCCCACCCAAACCCTTCCATGATCCAACGATTCCATGGCAGGGCCATCCCACAGAAATTCCCGAATTTCCGATCCTTTCCGGGCAGGATTTGGGATTCCCGTGGGAATTGGGCTGGAGCGCATTCCAGAGGGACAAAGGCTGGGAAAGGGTCAAATCCCAGCGGCCAAGCTGGGGACAAAGAGCCCTTGAGTGGCTCCGGGGACGGCCCGGCCGTGCCTGGCACCGGCGGCTCCTTTGAGATTCCCGGGATCCAGGCCCTTCCCGGCATCCCAGCTCTGGGCACCACCCCCTTCCTGGTGGCCTTGGTGGCCATGGATCAGATCCTGGAGGTGGGAATGGCTCTGGGAGCACTGGGAGGGTCACACCTGGACGTGGCTCCCCGATTTCAGGAGTGGCTTTTTTAGGGATGGATTTTGGGATCAAATCCTGGAGCCTGGAATGGCTCTGGGAGGGTCACACCTGGAGGTGGCTCCTGTCCCCACCTTCCAGGTGTGGCTTTTTTAGGGATGGATTTTGGGATAAAATCCTGGAGTTGGGAATGGCTGGGACGGTCACACCTGGAGGTGGCTGCACGTCCCTGAATTCAGGAGTGGCCTTTTCAGGGATGGATTTTGGGATCAAATCCTGGAACTGGGAATGACTTTTTCAGGGATGGGTTTGGGATAAAATCCTGGAGCTGGGAATGGCTCTGGGACGGTCGCACCTGGAGGTGGCTCCATGTCCCTGAATTTAGGAGTGAATTATTTTAGGGATGGAGTTTGGGATCAAATCCTGGAGCTGGGAATGGCTCTGGAAACACTGGGAAGGTCACATGTCCCCATTTCAGGAGTGGCTTTTTCAGGGATGGATTTTGGGGTCAAATCCTGGAGTCTGGAATGGCACTGGGGGGGTCATGCCTGGAGGTGGCTCCATGTCCCTGAATTTAGGAGTGAATTATTTTAGGGATGGATTTTGGGATCAAATCCCGGAGCTGGGAATGGCTCTGGGAACACTGGGAGGGCCACACCTGGAGGTCGCTCCCAGATTTCAGGAGTGGCTTTTTCATGGATGGAGTTTGGGATCAAATCCTGGAGCCGGGAATGGCTCTGGGAGCACTGGGAGGGTCCTCATGTCCCCATTTCAGGTGTGGCTTTTTCATGGATGGAATTTAGGGTCCAATCCTGGAGCTGGGAATGGCTCTGGGATGGTCACACCTGGAGGTGGCTCCTGTCCCCACACTCCAGGTGTGGCTTTTTCAGGGATGGATTTTGGGATCAAATCCTGGAGCCCGGAATGGCTCTGGGAGCACGGGGAAGGTCACATGTCCCCCATTTCAGGTGTGGTTTTTTCAGGGATGGATTTTGGGATCATCTCCTGGAGCTGGGAATGACACTGGGAAGGTCACCCTTGGAGGAGTCTCCTGTCCCCGATTTCAGGAGTGGCTTTTTTAGGGCTGGGCTGGGATTCCCAGACAGTCCCTGGATCCCTGGCAGTGTCCAAGGAAAGGTTGGATGGGGCTTTGGATCACCCTGGGATGGTGGGAAGTGTCCCTGGGATGGGATTGAAGGTCCATGGATCCCATCCCAAACCATTCCGGGATTCTGGGATCAAGGACACTCAGGATCCATCCCAAGGGATTTTTATGGAATTTGGGGATGGAAAAGGGAAGGGAGACCCTCCCTGGAGTTCCGAGACCCTCCCTGGAGTTCCCAATTCCCAGTGAAACTCCTGGATCCCAAAATTCCTTCTCAAGGAGGAGTCGGGATGGGGCTGGATCCAACGCAGGCTGGGAGAGCTGGGAATGTGCAGCTGGATCAGGGAAGGATCCAGGGAATCCTTGGAACCTTTTCCAGAGGGAAAGGAGAGCTGGGATTTGGGCAAGGATGGAGGGGCAGGAGGCAGGGAATGGCTTCCAGTGGGAAAGGGGAGCTTGGGATGGTGGGATCTTGGGAAGGGATTCCTGGCTGGGCTGGAATTCCCAGAGAATCCCTGGGAGTGTCCCAGGAAAGGTTGGAGCACCCTGGAATGCGGGACGGTGTCGGGGTTGGAATGGGGTGGGATTTGAGCTCCTTCCCCACACAAACCATTTCTCTTCCATGATTTCTGTCCCTGGGAATTCCAGCGGCTCCCAGAATTCCCGAAGAACCTCCCCGAGAGGCTCCCGCGTGCCCCCAAAATCCCCCAAATCCACCCAAAAATCCCCCAAATCCTTGGGATGCTCCGGGTACGGGGGGAGGGAGGGGAGGGGCGGGGCAATGACGCGGTGTCGGGCGCTGATTGGTCAGAAATGACATCATCGATGAGCAGCCAGCGATGGAGGCCCCGCCCTGAATCCTGGGTGGGTCCGGGGGAATCCCAGGAATGGGGTGGGAATTGTGGGAAAAATGGGAAAAAAGTGATGGGAATTTTGTTGGAAATCGGGATGAAAATGGGAAATTGGAATGAGGGAAATGTGGGAAAAATACAGAGGGAATTATTGAAATGAATGTGAAATAAATGCGGTCTAAATTTTTAAGTAAATGCCAAAAATATAAAATAAATTTAAAATAAATGCAAAAATAAATACAGACTTAATTTATAATAAATGCAAAAATAAATATGGAAGAAATTTAAAAGAAATCCAAGAATACACATAAAATAAATTTGAAAAATAGAGAATGAATGTAAAATAAATATAAACATAACCCCCCCTAAAAATGTTATATAAAACAAATATAAAAAGAAATACAACATCCGCAAAAAATAGAAAATAAATTCAAAATAAATGAAAAAATATATGTTAAATAAATAGTTATGATTGAATAAATATAAAATATTTCTGTAAAATATATAATGGAAAATAATGTATAGAACAAATATTAAAAGAGAAGTAAATTTATTTAAAAACAAATTAATTACAATTTTAAATTAAGGTAAACAAAAAGAATAATGAAGGTAAATATAAAAAGAGGAATAAGCAAAAATTTTTAAAAAGCTAGAATGAAAGTCTAAAAAACAAAAATAAAAATGGGAAAAAAAGAGTTTAAAATCAGAGTGAAAATAACAGTAAATAAAAATAAAAATTATTTTTACCATTTTAGAAACATACTGATTTTAATATTAAAGTTGAAATAAAAGCCTAAAGAAGAAAAATTTAAATTAATTAACTTTTTTTTGAAACCCACTAAGAAATAAATAAAAAATAGAAATTAAAACCTAAAACCAAAATAAATGAAAACCTAAAAAATACAAACAAAATTTAAAAAAAGAAATTTACAATAAATTGAAAATGAAAAAATCAAAATCAAAATCAAAATCAAAATGGAAATAAAAATAAAATAAGAATAAGAATAAGAATAAAAATAAAAAATAAAAATAAAAATAAAAATAAAAATAAAAATAAAAATAAAAATAAAAATCAGTGAGACCCTTCTAAGGAAGAATCCTCTTTTTCCCAGGTGGAATTCCAGGAATTCCATCCTAAATTTTGGGATGGAAAAGGTGCAGAGGAACCCCTCGACCCGCCCCCAGTGTTTCCCCCACATTTATCGTCCAAAATTCCCAGAAAAAATGGAAAAAATCCCAGGCCTCACATTCCCAAAGGCATCCCAAATGTGCCAAAATTGGGGTTTGGATGCTTGGAATTCTGGGAATCAATGGGATTTTGGGGCGATGGGAAACGTCGGGATATGGGATGGGGAGCGGGATCAGGATGGGGCAGAGGGATGGGATAATGGGATAATGGGATAATGGGATAATGGGATAATGGGATAATGGGATAATGGGATAGGGATTGGGATTTGGATTGGGATTGAGATTGGGATGGGATTGGGATTGGGATGGGATTGGGATTGGGATTGGGATTGGGATTGGGATTGGGATGGGATTGGGATTGTAGAATTGGGATTGGGATTAGGATTGGGGGGAAGGGATGGGATGGAGAGAAGGGATAGAGATGGATGGAGATGGGATGGGGATGGGCAATTGGGTTTGGATGGGATGGGAATGCAGGATTGGTGTGGGATGCCATCGGGGTGGGATGAAAATGAAGATGGGATGGGTTGGGATGGAGATGGGAACAGGATGGGATAGGACAGGATGGAGATGAGATGAGATGAGATGAGATGGGATGGGATGGGATTAGGATGGGATTAGGATGGGATTAGGATGGGATTGAAATGCAGGATTGGGGTGGGATGTGATTTGAGTTGGGATAGAGCTGGATTGGGATTGGGGTTGGGATTGGGGTGGGATTGGGATCAGAATGCAGGATTGGGGTGGGGTGGGGTGGGATGGGATTGGGATGGGATAGGGTTGAGATTGGGATTGGATTGCAGGATTGGGATGGGATGGGATTTGGATTAGGGTGGGATGGGATTGGGATGGGATAGGGTTGAGATTGGGATTGGATTGCAGGATTGAGTTGGGATGGGATGGGATTTGGATTAGGGTGGGATGGGATTGGGATTTGGATTGCAGGATTGGGATGGGATGGGAGGGGATGGGAGGGGATGGGATGGGAGGGGAGGGGATGGGATGGGATGGGATGGGATGGGATGGGATGGGAGGGGATGGGATGGGATGGGATGGGATGGAGGAATGGATGGACACGGGACGCAGGGATTTGGGATGCTACGATCCCTTTTTTTCCCTCCTTTGCCGTATCCAGGGATACGCCGTGGGAGGATCCCGGCGTCGCCCCCAGCTCCAGCCTCTCCCTTTTGTTCTCCCTCCTCCCTCTCTTGTTCCCGAGGAGCTTCCCGAGCAAATGCTGGGAAACCATGGAAACCACCCGCTCCCGTCAGAATCCGGGCAGGAAAAAAGCAGGAAAAAAGCAGGAAAAAGGCAGGAAGGGCCACCCAGGCCTCTTCCCTTCCCCCATGGAATCACCTGAAATCCCAAGGATTCACCTGGATTTGGAAAAAAAAATTGGGCGGGATTAACTCCGGGCAAAAATTTCAAATTTCCTGCTTTTCCCAACACCAACGACGCATCTTCATTGGATCCCCAGAGCTGGGAATTCCAGGGGAAAAACCCTCGGAGGGATAAAGCTGTGGGGAAAAGGATGGAGGAGTTGGGATGCTCCCAGGAATGCTCCCATTGATGGTTTTCCATATGGAGACTTGGCAGGGCAGCTTTGCTTTCCTTCCCATTCTCAGGGATTTTATAAAAATGGATTTATTAAATTCTTTTGTTTTTTAATAAAATAGTCTAATAAATTTAGTAAATTATTAATAAAATTCAAGAAATACAAGGTCGAAGGATGGGAGTTCTGCTGGTGGTTGCCTTTTTGTGCTGTCCTGAACAGGAAGAATCCTCATCCAGCCAAATCCCGTGGGATTTTCACATTCCAAGAACTCGGATAAGGATCACAGCAGGGATTCCTGATTCTGATTCTGAAAACTGCGGAAAAAGCCCCTAAATCCTTTAATTCCTTATTTATCAAGGAAATCCCTTCTTCCCAAAGCATTCCCAGCTTGGATCCATGGACAGAGAGCTTCAGGAAAATTTGGGATTTGGGCACAGAACCACACAGCGGGGAAGAGATACATTGATAATATTTCTAATGTTTATTAATATTTAATAACGATAAAAACCTGAGATAATACAAACATTTTTTATCCCTGCGTATTTTTCCTGTTTTTGTTTTTCCTGGAAAAGCAGCTGGAGAACCCCACCAGGAGGCAAGGAGACGTTCTAGGTCGGGACATCTTCAAGGACGCGGACCCGGAGCGGGCAGATGCGGAGCGTCTTGGCGTCGGAATCGCCCTGGCTGTTGCCCACGTAGAAATAGGGGAAGACGGCGCAGCCGAACTTCTCGTGGAACGTGTAGATGTGGCTCTGGAGGTCGGCGTCGTAGAAGGAGAGCTCGCCCTCGGTGCAGTCCAGCTCCACGCGGACGCGCCGGATGTTGCCCAGCGCCGTCTGCGAGCGCATGGCGTTGGACGCCCGGCACTCGTCCTTGCCCTGCAGGTGGTAGATGTACCAGAAGCCGGAGCGGGTGTCGTGGTGGTAACTCCAGGGGGAGCCTCTGTGGGGCCGCGAGACGCCCACGCGCCAGTTGTCGAGGCCGCCCAGGTCCACCTCCCAGGTGTGGAAGCCTTTGGAGAAGCCGCGGGAGCCCAGGACGCAGGGGGCGGAGGTGAAGCGCTCCGGGTTCTCCACGGAGCCTTTGTAGCTGCACAGGGAGACGCTGGAGAGGTCCTCGGAGACGGAGAGCCAGCCCGCGGCCGAGTTGGGGTCCAGGCTGAAGGGGACTGCGGGGAAGGGGAAGGTTTTATGGGAAGTTTGCTCTGTGGAGCCACCCATGGATTCACACATGGATCCTTCCATCCCTACGTGGATCCTTCCACGCATTCATCCATGGATCCCTCCATCCCTACCCATCCAGCAATGGATCCTTCCATGGATACATCCGTCTGTCCCTCCATCCATGGATCCATCCATCTGTCCATCCATCCATCCATCCACGGATCCATGGATCCCTCCCTCCATCCATGGATCCTTCCACAGATTCATCCATGGATCCCTCCCACCTTACATCCATCCATGGATCCTTCCATGGATACATCAGTCTGTCCCTTCCATCCATGGATCCATCCCTCCCTCCATCCATCCATCCATGGATCCTTCAATGGACCCATCAATCTGTCCCTCCATCCATGGATTGCTCCCTCCATCCATCCATGGATCTTTCAATGCATCTGTCCATCTGTCCCTCCATCCATGGATGCCTCCAAGGATCCAACCATCCATCCATCCATGGATTCGTCCATGGATCCATCCATCCATCCATCCATCCATCTATGGATCCTTCCATAGATCCATCCCTCCATCCATCCATGGATCCCTCCATGGGTCCATCCATCCATCCATGGATCTACCATTAATCCCCGGATTCATCCATCCATCCATCCATGGATTCATCCTACACCCATGCCTATCCATGGATTTGTCCCTGGCAAACGCACATTCCCAAGTTTCCCTTTTTGAGGAACAAGCCCCTCCCTTCAACTCCCCAATCCCATCTCCACATTTCCCATCTTTCCAGACCCCACCACCACCACCATTTTTAGGGATCAATCCCTCCCCACATTTCCCATTTTTCCTGACCCCACCACCACCATATTTAGGGAAGAATCCATCTCCACATATCCCATCTTTCCAGACCCATCACCATTTTTAGGCATGAATCCCTCTCCACATTTCCCATCTTTCCTGACCCACCAACACCATTTTGAGGGAGGAATCCATGACCACATTTCTCATCACCACCATTTTTAGGGATGAATCCATCTCCACATTTCCCATCTTTCCAGACCCACCACCACCATTTTTAGGGATGAATCCATGTCCACATTTCCCATCATCACCATTTTCAGGGAAGAATCCCACTCCACATTTCCCATCTTTCCAGATCCCACCATCATTTTTAGGGAAGAATCCATCTCCACGTTTCCCATCTTTCCAGACCCACCACCATTTATAGGGATCAATCCCTCTCCACATTTCCCATCTTTCCAGACCCCACCACCATTTTTAGGGATGAATCCATCCCCACATTTCCCATCATCACCATTTTCAGGGAAAAATCTCTCTTCACATTTCCCATCTTTCCAGACCCCACCACCATTTTTAGGGAGGAATCCACTTCCATATTTCCCATCTTTCCAGACCCACCACAACCATTTTTAGGGATTAATCCATCTCCACATTTCCCATCTTTCCAGACCCACCACAACCATTTTTAGGGATGAATCCATGTCCACATTTCCCATCATCACCATTTTCAGGGAAGAATCCATCTCCACATTTCCCATCTTTCCAGACCCCACATTTCCCAATTTTAGGGATGAATCCATCTCCACATTTCCCATCTTTCCAGATTCACCACCATTTTTAGGGATGAATCCCTCTCCACATTTCCCATCTTTCCAGACCCCACCACCATTTTTAGGGATGAATCCATCTCCACATTTCCCATCTTTCCTGACCCATCACCACCATTTTTTGGGGTGAATCCCTCTCCACCTTTCCCATCTCTCCAGACCCCACCACCATTTTTAGGGATGAATCCATCCCCACATTTCCCATCACCACCTTTTTTAGGGAAGAATCCCTCTCCACATTTTCCATATTTCCAGACCCCACCACCATTTTTAGGGAGGAATCCCTCTCCACATTTCCCATCTTTCCAGACCCACCACCACCGTTTTAAGGGAAGAATCCATCTCCACATTTCCCACCACCACCATTTTTAGGGAAGAATCCATCTCTACATTTCCCATATTTCCAGACCCACATTTCCCATTTTTAGGGATGAATCCCTCTCCACATTTCCCAACTTTCCAAACCCCATCACCATTTTTAGGGATGAATCCATCTCCACATTTCCCATCTTTCCTGACCCATCACCACCATTTTTTGGGATGAACCCCTCTCCACCTTTCCCATCTCTCCAGACCCCACCACCATTTTTAGGGATGAATCCATCCCCACATTTCCCATCACCACCTTTTTTAGGGAAGAATCCCTCTCCACATTTTCATATTTCCAGATCCATCACCACCATTTTTAGGGAAGAATCCCTCTCCACATTTCCCATCTTTCCTGACCACCACCACCATTTTTAGGGATGAATCCCTCTCCACATTTCCCATATTTCCAGATCCATCACCACCATTTTTAGAGAAGAATCCATGTCTACATTTCCCATCTTTCCAGACTGATATTTCCCATTTTTAGGGATGAATCCATCTCCACATTTCCCATTTTTCCACCCCCTGGGAAACCCCATTCCCGACATTCCCGGCTCCTCACCGGCGGTGATGGTGTCCAACATCTTCTTCCACACGTTGTACTGCAGCGATCCCAGGTATTTGGCCACATCCAGGAGCAATCCTGAGGGAACAGCCTCCGGCTCCTCGGCCGTGCAGGCGATCCTGGAGCAAGGAATGACCGTGGAGAAAGGATTGGGATGAGGAACCCGGTATTTCCCAAACCTTTCCTCCCTCAATTCCTACAAAATCTGGGATTTAACGCTTCCCACAAACACTGAAAATTCCATACTGCCTGGAACACCCAGGAGACGCTGGAATTTTCTTGGAGCAGGAACTTTAGGAGACCCCATCCAGCCAGCAGGAAGGGCTCAGCCATCCCCAAATTCCCATGGATTTGGGAATTCCATGGATTTGGGAATATATGACGGGATCAGGACCTACCTCCGCTTGCGGTTCTTGTGGGTCTGGAAAAGAAAAGAAAAGAGGAATCAGATCGATCCTGGATGCCGCCGGAATTCCAACAGCCCATGGATCACATGGGGGAGGTGGGAACGGGATCCTGGTGGGAATTACCATGGGGAATGCGGGAATTACCACCAGAAATGTGGGAATTACCATGGAGAATGTGGGAATTACCATGGGAAATGTGGGAATTACCGTAGGAAAATGTGGGAATTATTATTGGGAATGTGGAAATTACTATGGGGAATGTGGGAATTACCATCAGGAAGGTATGAAATTACCATGGGGAAATGTGGGAATTACCATCGGGAATGTGGGAATTACCATCGGGAATGTGGGAATTACCATTGGGAATGTGGGAATGACCACTGGGAATGTGGGAATTACCATTGGGAATGTGGGAATTACCATGGGGAATGTGGGAATTACCATTGGAAATGTGGGAATTACCATGGGGAATGTGGGAATGACCACTGGGAATGTGGGAATTACCATCAGGAATTTGGGAATTTCCATTGGGAATGTGGGAATTACCATGGGGAATGTGGGAATTACCACCAGAAATGTGGGAATTACCAATGGGAATGGGGGAATTACCACTGGGAATGTGGGAATTACCATCAGGAATTTGGGAATTTCCATTGGGAATGTGGGAATTACCATGGGGAATGTGGGAATTACCACCAGAAATGTGGGAATTACCAATGGGAATGGGGGAATTACCAATGGGAATGCAGAAATTACCACCTGGAAGGTGAGAAACACCATTGGGGAATGTGGGAATTACTATGGGGAATGTGGGAATTACCATGGGGAAATGTGGGATTTACCACTGGGAATGTGGGAATTACCATTGGGGAATGTGGGAATTACTATGGGGAATGTGGGAATTAACATGGGGAAATGTGGAAATTACCATTGGGAATGTGGGAATTACCATCGGGAATGTGGGAATTACCATTGGGAATGTGGGAATTTCCATGGGGAATGTGGGAATGACCACTGGGAATGTGGGAATTACCATGAAGAAATGTGGGAATTACCATGGGGAATGCCGGAATTACCACCAGGAATGTGGGAATTGCCACTGGGGATGTGGGAATTACCCTCAGGAAGGTGAGGTCGTCCTGCTGGCAATCGGCCTGGAGCCGGGCGGCCTCGTTGAGCAGGGCCTGGCTGGCCTCGCTCAGCTGCTCCATCTTTCCCTGGATCAGATCGTGCTTCCGGCCCGTCTCCTCCCGGATCTGCGCCAGCACCGCCTGCTCCTCGTCCCACAGGAACTTGTGCAGCTTCTCGAATTCCCACTTCACCTGACGCTCCAGACGCTCCGATGCCTCCTGGGAATGAATGTTGGCGCCTTACTCCAGGTGGGAACGGTGGAAGTGCCCGAATTCCCTGGATTCCTCTTTCCCAGAGCTCAGGGATTCCCTGGGATCACGCTGCCCTTCCCAAATTTCCATCCCTGCTTCCCAAATCCCCATCACCCCCCTTTTCCAGATGGAATCAGTGCTCGAGCCCCAGCTGTATGTGCACGATTGGGATTGGGATCAATCACAGCTCTGGAGCACCAGAATTCCCTGGATTCCCATTCCCAGCACTCAGGAATCCCCTCGGATCATGCTGCCCTTCCCAAATTCCCATCCCTGCTTCTCAAATCCCCACCGCTCTCATTTTCAAGGATGGGATCAGTGCTCCACCCCAGCTGCATGTGCAGGATTGGGATCGGGATCAATCCCACATCTGGATCACCCAAATTCCCTGGATTGCCCCTTCCTAGAGCTCAGAGATTCCCTGGGATCACGCTGCCCTTCCCTAATTCCCATCCCCATTTCCCAAACCCCAGCACTCTCCTCTCCTGGCATGGGATCAGGGCTCCACTCCAGCTGCATGTGCAAGATTGGGATTGGTCCCAGTCCCACCTCTGGAGCAATGAGATTCCCTGGATTCCCCTTCCTAGTGCTCAGAGATTACCTGGGATCACGCTGCCCTTCCCAAATTCCCATCCCCACTTCCCAAATCCCCACTGCTTGCCTGTCCCAGGATGGGATCAGTGCTCTACGCCAGCTGTATGTGCAGGATTGGAATTGGGATCAATCCCACCTCTGGAGCTCCCAAATTCCCTGAATTCCCCCTTCCCAGAGCTCAGGGATTCTCTGGGATCACGCTGCCCTTCCCAAATTCCCATCCCCATTTCCCAAACCCCAGCACTTTCCTCTCCTGGGATGGGATCAGGGCTCCACTCCAGCTGCATGTGCAAGATTGGAATTGGGATCAATCCCACATCTGGATCACCCAAATTCCCTGGATTCCCCTTCCCAGAGCTCAGGGATCACTGGGATCACGCTGCCCTTCCCAAATTCCCATCCCCACTTCCCAAATCCCCACTGCTCGCCTGTCCCAGGATGGGATCAGCGCTCCACCCCACTGAACATGCAGGACTGGGATCAGGATCCGGATCAGGACTGGGATCAGGATCAGGATCGGGATCCAGATCCGGATCAGGATTGGGATCAATCCCGCCTCAAGAGGGAACACGCACCTCGTTGTGCCGGGCGATGGATTCGTAGGATCTCCGCACGGCCCCGAAATCCTTGGCTTTATCCCGCAGGGAAGACTCCATGTTCGCCAGCTTGGCCTGTGGGGACGAGACACCCTCAGGACTGCCCCATTCCTGGGATTTTCCAGGATTTTTCCAGGACAAACACTCCCGGAGCCAGATCCTTGCTCCATCCGCTGTTCTCCTCAGGCAGCCGGGAGGAAGAGGAGCTTTGATCCATAGGGAGTCCTCCGCCCTGTTTTTTAGGGATATCCCATCCCTGCTCATCCTGGTGCTGTTGGCAGCCCCATTCCCACTCCCATTCCCATTCCCACTCCCATTCCCACTCCCACTCCCATTCCCATTCCCATTCCCATTCCCATCCCCATCCATTCCATTCTTATTCCTATTCCTATTCCTATTCCTATTCCTATTCCTATTCCCATTCCCACTCCCATTCCCATCCATTCCATTCTTATTCCTATTCCTATTCCTATTCCTATTCCTATTCCCATTCCCACTCATCCCATTCTCATTCCTATTCCCATTCCCACTCCCATTCCAAATCCCATTCCCATTTTCACTCCCATTCCCAATCCCATTCCTACTCCCATTCCCACTCCCAATCCCATTCCCACTCCCAATCCCATTCCCACTCCCATTCCCAGACCTGTTCCCACTCCCATTCCCATTCCCATTCCCATTCCCACTCCCACTCCCATCCCCATCCTCATTCCCACTCCCATCCCCATCCCCATTCCCACTCCCATTCTCGTTCCCATTCCCGTTCCCATTCCCAGGAACCCCAGCCAAGCTTTTCCCGCCACATTTGAAATCCATCGGGATGAGTCAGGGTGGTGCCGGCTGTTTTCCAGCCTTTGCTGGCAGCATTCCCAACTCCTGGCTGCATCCCATCCCCTCGCCCTCCTCCTCCTCAGCCTCCTCCTTTCTGCTGGAATTGTGCAACTCCCAAATCCCAACCCCACTCCCAAAGCCTGGAATAACCGGCGTGGCCGGATCCGAGCTGGGATCAAGGGAATCTCCGGGAATAACCATCCCGCTGCCGTTTCCCGCGGGATCATTATCCGGGATGGCACCGGATAATTAAAGGGCAGCAGAGCATCCAGCAGCCGCCACACGCCCGCAGGGAAGCGTGGCGGCCTCATCCCAAATCCTGGGAAATCTGGGACAGCTCCAGGTTTTAGGGGTGCCTCTCGTTGTCATCCTTCCATGGATGCATCCATGGATCCATCCATCCATCCATCCATCCATCCATCTCTGTTCATCCATGGATTCATCCCTCCATCCATCTATGGATCCATCCCTGAATCTATCCACATCCATCCACCCATGGATCCATGGATCCATCCATCCATCCATCTCTGTTCATCCATGGATTCATCCCTCCATCCATCTATGGATCCATCCATGAATCTATCCACATCCATCCGTCCATGGATCCATCTTTCCATCCATCTCTGTTCATCCATGGATCCATTTATCCATGGATCCATTGCTCCCTCCCTCCATTCTTAGATTCATCCATCCCTCCATCCATCCATCCATGGATTCCATCTATGGATCCATCCCTCCATCCATCCATCCGTCCATTCCTCCATCCATCTACATCCATGCATGGATCCATCCATTTGTCCATTCATCCATAGATCCATCAATCCATCCATAGATCCATCGATCCATAGATCCATCCATGGAATCCATCCATCCATCCATCCATCCATCCACATCCATCCCTCCATCCATGGATCCATCCCTGCATCCATAGATCCATCCATGGAATCCATCCATCCATCATCCATCCATCCATCCATCCATCCATCATCCATCCATGGATCCATGGATCCATCCATCCATCCATCATCCATCCATCCATCCATCCATCCATCCATCCACATCCATCCCTCCATCCATGGATCCATCCCTGCATCCATAGATCCATCCATGGAATCCATCCATCCATCATCCATCCATCCATCCATCCATCATCCATCCATGGATCCATGGATCCATGGATCCATCCATCCTCCATCCATCCATCCATCCATCCATCCATCCATCCATCCATGGATCCATGGATCCATCCATCCATCCATCCATCCATCATCCATCCATCCCCATCCATCTATGGATCCATCCACATTCATCCCTCCATCCATGGATACTTCCATGGATCCATCCCTCCATCCATCCATTCATCCATGGATCCGTACATGGATCCATTAATCCACATCCATCCATCCATCCATCCCTCCCTCTCCCCTATTCCCTCCCCTCCCCTCACCCTAAAATCCGCCGCCGCCTCCTGCACCGGCCTCATCTTGTGCCCCTGGTGCTCCTTGGAGCGCTGGCACGAGAAGCACGCCAGCTCCTTGTCCTCCATGCAGAAGAACTTGGGCTCCTCCTGGTGCGCGGGGCACAGCGCCGCGCCTCGGCCCTGCCGCTGCCCTTCCTCCTTCAGCACCAGCTCCACCAGGTTCCTCAGCGTGTGGTTGACGCGGAGCTGCTCCAGCGAGGACCTCTCCTTGCACAGGGGACACTGCGGCCGCCGCTGCTCCCACGAGCGGCTGATGCAGCCCTTGCAGAAGTTGTGGCCGCACGGCAGCGTCACGGCCTCCCGGAAGGGCTCGTAGCACACGGGGCACTGCAATTCCTCCCTCAAGCCCGGCGTGCTGGATGCCGGAGCTGCCGAGCTGCTGCTGCAGCTGCCGGGGCAGGGATCGTCGTCTCTGCTTTCCATGCTGCGGGATTTTTTAGGAGTGAGATTTATTTATTTTTTAAATTTTTTTTTTTTTTTCCCTTCCCCAAGCCGCCCCGACCGGACGAACGGCTCCGCTTTCTGATGCAACCGCTCCGGTTTCCTGCCGGTGACTCAGCCGCGCTCCCTCCCGCCCGCTGACAACGCCCCGGGGCCGCGGCCGAGGGGGTTCCGCACCGCGGGGGCGGCGGCAAAAGCGGACGGGACCCCTCCGAGCCCCGCGGTTGGACCGAGACCCGAGCACCGGGCACGTCCGGGGCAGCCCCGGTGCCCGGTTCGGCATCCCCAGGTCCCGGTCCCGGTCCAAACTCCAGGGCTGCTCCGGTGCCCGGTTCGGGGTCTCCACGGCCCGGTCCCCCAAAATCCGGAGCTCGGTTCTGGATCCCCAGGTCCCGGTCCCACCTCCGGGGTTGCTCCGGTGCTCGAACCCCACCCCGGGGCTACCCCGGTCCCCCAAACTCGGGGTTGTTCCATTGCCCGGTTCTGAGTCCCCGGGTCTCGGTTTCAGTCCCCCAAACTCGGGGCAGACCCAGTGCCCGGTTCTCGATCCTCAGATCCCAGTCCCCCAAAATCGGGGCTGTTCTGGCCCCCCAAACCCGGGGCTGCTCCGGTCCCCCAAACTCAGGACAGCCCCAGTGCCCGGTTCTGGGTCCCCAGGTCCCGGTGCCCCAAACTCGGGGCTGCTCCGGTGCCCGGTTCTGGGTCCCCATGTCCCGGTCCCGATCCCCCAAACTTGGGGTTCACCCGGTGCCCGGATCCGGCTCCCCGGTCCTCTCCCGGGGCAGCTCCGGTGCCCGGTTCGGGCCCTCATGTCCCGGTCCCCATGTCCCGGTCCTGGGTCCCACCTCCGGGGCTGCTTCCACTCCCCCTTTCCTACCCCGGGACCGCCCCGGTGACCGGCGCTGGACCCTCGGTCCCGAACCCGGGTTTGGACCCTCACCCCGGGGTTCCCCTCGGTGGTGCCCGGGCCCAGTGGCAGCCCCGGTTCCCCAAACTCGGAACCGGATCGGTGTCCCCCTAACCTGGGCCAGCCCCGGGTGTCCAGACCTCCAATCCCGGGGCTGCTCCTGTGCCGGGACCCCCTCCTTTCCCGGGAGCCACAACTCCGGGGCCGCTCCGGTGCCCGGTCCCGGTCCCCAACCCCCGGAACAGACCCCTGCCCCCATCCCGGGACTATTCCGGTGCCCGATCCCGGTTCCCAACCCCCGGTCCCCCATCCCGAGGCCATTCCGGCGCCCGGTTCCCCAGTCCCGGTGCCCGGTCTCGGTACCCCAAACCCGGAACAGTCCCGGTCCCCCATCCCGAGGCCATTCCGGCGCCCGGTTCCCCAATCCCGGTGCCGGGTCTCGGTACCCCAAACCCGGAACAGTCCCGGTCCCCCATCCCGAGGCCATTCCGGCGCCCGGTTCCCCAATCCCCGTACCCCAATCCCGGTGCCCCAACCCCGGTCCCCCAATCCCGGAAGGCCCCGATCCCCCATCCCGGGGCCACTCCGGTGCCCGGTCCCGGTCCCCCAGCCCTGGTCCTCCATCCCGGGGCCGCTCCAGTTCCCGGTCCCCCAATCCTGGTGCCTGGTCCCGCTCCCCCACCCTCGGTCCCACATCCCGGGACCACATCGGTGTCCGGTCCTCCAATTCTGGTGCCCGGTCCCTCTCCCTCAACCCCGGAATTGTCCCGGTCCCCCATCCCGGAGCCACTCCGGTGCCCAGTCCTCCAATCGCTGTGCCCGATCCCGGTTCCCAACCCCCGGTCCCCCAATCTCGGGACCACTCCGGTGCTCCGTACCCCAATCCCGGTGCCTGGTCCCGGTACCCCACCCCTGGAACGGTCCCTGTCCCCCATCCCGGGGCCGCTCCAGTTCCCGGTCCCCCAAACCCGGTGCCCGGTCCCGGTCCCCAAACCCCGGTCTCCCATCCCGGAGCCACTCCGGTGCCCCGTACCCCAATCCCGCTTCCCAGCCCCCGGTCCCCAATCCCGGGACCACTCCGGTGCTCGGTCCCCTAATCCCGGTGCCCGGTCCCTCACCCCCGGTCCCCCATCCCGGGGCCACTCCAGTTCCCGATTCCCCAATCCGAGAGCCCGATCCCGGTTCCCAACCCCCGGTGCCTCATCCCGGGGCCACTCCAGTTCCCCGTACCCCAATCCCGGTGCCCCGTCCCGGTCCCCCAACCCCGGAACAGCCCCGGTCCCCCATCCCGGGACCACTCCGGTGCCCCGTACCCCAATCCCGGTGCCCGTTCCCGCTCCCCCAGACCCTGTCCCCTATCTCGGAGCCATTTCGGTGCCAGATCCCGGTCCCCAACCCCCGGTCCCCCATCCCGGTACCCCAATCCCGGTGCTCGTTCCCGCTCCCCCAGACCCTGTCCCCCATCTCGGAGCCATTTCGGTGCCCGATCCCGGTCCCCCATCCCGGTACCCCCAATCCCGGTGCCCGTTCCCGGTTCCCAACCCCCGCTCCCGCTCTGTCCCCCCCGCCCCGCTCCCGCTCCACGTGGCGCTGTCCCGGTCCCTCCCGGTCCCTCCCGGTCCCTCCCGGCCCTTCCCGGCGCCGCTGCCGGTTCCGGGGGTTGCCCCGGTGTACCGGGGGGTGTCACAGGGGTCTCACCTTGCGGACCGGCGCTGGCACCGCTCCCTCCTCCGCTGCAGGCGGCGCGGGGGTCCCCGTTCGCCTCGCTGCGACATCGCGGGGGTCCCTGATATTCCCGGGGCTCTCGGAGGGCGGAGCGGGACGGGAGGGTCGGGACGAGGCTCCGGGGGAGGCTCCCGGGGCCGGCCCGGCCTCTCCCGGCCCTCGGTGGCACCGAGACCCCGCCCCGGGAATTTCGGGATCCCAGAAACGCCGAAATTCAGTTTTGCCTCCTCCTCTCCCGTTTCCACCGGGAATGGAATTCCCGAGGAATCCCACCGGGATTTTCCAGGCGCGGCGCCGCCCGTTCCTGTTTTGTTTTTCCCCTTTTCCCTGTTTTCCACCCGTTCCAAAATTCCCCTCCCCTTTTTTTTTAAAAATTTTTTTTTTAATTTTTTTTTATTTGTTTTTGTTTTTTCCCGTTCCTACCCCGGGAGTCGCGCGGTGCCTCCCAAAATCTCCAGCTCCTCCATCACAAAAAAAAAAAAAAAAAATTAAAAAAAAATTCCCCAGTGGGAAGCGGGAGGAATCTAAAAATCATCCAAGGAAAGAAAAACAACAGGGGGGGATAAAAAAGACAGAAAAAAAAAAAAAGGAGGGAAAAAAAAAAAAAAAGGAAAAAAAAGAAAGGAAAAAAAAAAAGAAGGAATAAATTTTTTTTTAAAAATTTTTCCCCTTCTTTTTTTAAAAGAAGGGGGAAAAAAAGAAAGAAAAAATAAAAAAGGAAGGAAAAACGAAAGAAAAAATAAGAAAAAAAGGAAGGAAAATAAAGAAAAAATAAAATAAGAAGGAAAATATGTAAAAAAAAGGGAAAAAAGAAATAAAAATAAAAAAAGGAAGGGAAAAAAAGAAAAAATAAAAAGGGAAGGAAAAGAAAGAAAAAATTAAAAAAAGAAGGAAAAAAATAAAAAAGAAGGGCAAAAAAGGAAAAAGAAAAAAAAAGAAAAAAGAAAAAAGGAAGGAAAAAAAGAAAGAAAAAAGGAAAATAGAGAAGCAAGGAAAATAAAGAAAAAATAAGGAAAAAATAAAGTGGGGGAAAAAAAAGAAAAAGGAAAAAAAAGGAAAAAAATAAAAAGATGTTTTTTCCAACCTTTGGAGCCGTTGTTTTCCAAAGGCTGCGAGCCCAAGGTTAAAGATAAACCCGGCTGGGAATCCACGCCAGGAATGTGGGAATGTGAGATTGGACCGGTGGGAAAAGGGGGATGGAAAAAAGTCCCTGCTGGAAAAAAATCTCAGCCTGGAATCTGTGGGAAATTTTGGGAATCAGGGACAGGGAAAGGGGAATTTGGGGTGGGAATTTGGGAAAAGCCAGAGGGGGAAGCAGGAGGGATCACGGAATTATTTAGGGTGGAAAACCCTCTGGAATAATCAGCGAATTCCAGGATCTGTGTCCCCCAAATCCACCGGGATTTGAAATCCCCCCAGGAAAATCCTTTCCAGGCAGGAATTCGTTCCGGGCAGAATTCCAAGCCTCGAGAATTCCATGGGGTTTGTAAAACCCAGGGATCCTTGGGGGCTGTCGGGGATATTTGGGAATTTGGGAAGGGATTCATCCCCTGGGAAGGTGGGGAGGGGCTGGGCTGGAATTCCCAGAGAATTCCCTGGAAGTGTCCAAGGAAAGGTTGGAGCATCCTGGGATTGTGGAATTCCCGGAATTTGAGGATTCCAGGCCTCAGATCCCACGAGTTTGTGGCACTTTCCACAATTCCAGGAATTCCATGGATTGTGGAAAATATGGGGTTGGCTTTGGGATGGGATTAAAGTTTCCATCCATGAATTTTGGAATTCCAGGGCTCAGATCCCACAGTTTTGTGGCACTTCCCATAATTCCAGGAATTCCCTGGATTGTAGGAGGTATTGGGCTTGGAATGGGATGGGATTTAAGCTTCCATCCTGGAATTCCAGGCCCTAAATCCCATGAGTTTGTGGCACTTCCCACAATTCCAAGAATTCCCTGGATCCTGAAAAATGTGGGCTTGGAATTGGGATGGGATTTGAGCTTCCATCCCAGAATTTGGGAATTCCAGGCCTCAGATGCCCATGGGTTTGTGCCATTTCCCAGAATTCCAAGAATTCCCTGGATCCAGAAATTCCCTGGATTGTGGAAGGTGTCAGGGTTGGAATGGGATGGGATTTAAGCTTTCATCCCAGAATTTGGGAATTCCATGTCCCAAATCCCATGGGTTTGTGGCACTTCCCATCATTCCAGGAATTCCCCGGATCCTGGAAAATGTGGGGTTGGAATTGGGGTGGGATTTAAGTTTCCATCCCAGAATTTGGGAATTCCAGGCCTGAGATCCCACGGGTTTGTGGCACTTCCCATAATTCCAAGAATTCCCTGGATCCTGGAAAATGTGGGGATGGAATTCGGATGGGATTTAAGCTTCCATCCTGGAATTTGGGAATTCCAGGCCTCAGATGCCCATGGGTTTGTGGCATTTCCCAGAATTCCAGGAATTCCCTGGATCCTGGAAAATGTGGGGTTGGAATTGGGGTGGGATTTAAGCTTCCATCCCAGAATTTGGGAATTCCAGGTCTCAGATCCCACGGTTTTGTGGCACTTCCCACAATTCCAAGAATTCCTTGGATTGTGGAAAATGTGGGGTTGAAATTGAGATGGGATTTAAGCGTCCATCCCAGAATTCCAGGACTCAGATCCCACAGTTTTGTGGCTCTTCCCACCATTCCAAGAATTCCCTGGATCCAGAAATTCCCTGGATTGTGGAAGGTGTCAGGGTTGGAATGGGATGGGATTTAAGCTTTCATCCTGGAATTTGGGAATTCCATGCCTTAGATCCCATGAGTTTGTGACACTTCCCACAATAGCAAGAATTCCCTGGATCCTGGAAAATGTGGCGTTGGGATTGAGATGGGATTTAAGTTTCCATCCTGGGATTCCATGTCCCAAATCCCATGAGTTTGTGGCACTTCCCATCATTCCAAGAATTCCCTGGATCCTGGAAAATGTGGGGTTGGAATTGGGGTGGGATTTAAGTTTCCATCCTGGAATTTGGGAATTCCAGGCCTCAGATCCCACGGTTTTGTGGCACTTCCCACAATTCCAAGAATTCCTCATATCGCGGGAAATGTGGGGTTGGAATGGGATGGGATTTGAGCTTCCATCCCTGAATTCCATGTCTCAAATCCCATGAATTTGTGTCACTTCCCACAATTCCAAGAATTCCCCGGATTCTGGAAAATGCGGGGTTGGAATTGGGGTGGGATTTAAGCTTCCATCCCAGAATTTGGGAATTCCAGGCCTCAGATCCCACAGTTTTGTGGCACTTCCCATCATTCCAAGAATTCCCTGGACCAATGGAACCCCTGGATTCCATGGATCCAGGAATTCCGTGGATTTTGGAAAGTTTCGGAGTTGGAATTGAGATGGGATTTAAGCTTCCATCCTGGAATTCCACACCTCAGATCCCACAGTTTTGTGGCACTTCCCACCATTCCAAGAATTCCCTGGATCCAGGAATTCCCTGGGTGGTGGAAGGTGTTGGGGCTGGAATGGAATGGGATTCAAGCTTCCATCCCAGAATTTGGGAATTCCAGGCCTCAGATCCCATGAGTTTATGGCACTTCCCACAATTCCAGGAATTCCCTGAATCCTGGAAAATGTGGGGTTGGGATTGAGATGGGATTTAAGTTTCCATCCTGGAATTCCAGGCCTCAGATCCCATGGGTTTGTGGCACTTCCCACAATAGCAAGAATTCCCTGGATCCTGGAAAATGCAGGGTTGGAATTGGGGTGGGATTTAAGTTTCCATCCTGGAATTTTGGAATTTCAGGCCTCAGATCCCACAGTTTTGTGGCACTCCCCATAATTCCAGGAATTCCCTGGACTGTGGGAGGTATTGGGGTTGGAATTGGGGTGGGATTTAAGTTTCCATCCTGGAATTTGGGAATTCCAGGCCACAGATCCCACAGTTTTGTGGCACTTCCCACAATTCCAAGAATTCTCCATATCATGGGAAGTGTGGGGTTGGAATGGGATGGGATTTGAGCTTCCATCCCTGAATTCCATGCCCCAAATCCCATGAATTTGTGGCACTTCCCAAAATTCCAGGAATTCCTTGGATGATGGAAAATGTGGGGTTGGAATTGGGATGGGATTTAAGCTTTCATCCTGGAATTTGGGAATTCCAGGCCTCAGATGCCCATGGGTTTGTGGCATTTCCCAGAATTCCAGGAATTCCCTGGATCCTGGAAAATGTGGGGTTGGAATTGGGGTGGGATTTAAGCTTCCATCCCAGAATTTGGGAATTCCACGCCTCACATCCCACGGTTTTGTGGCACTTCCCACAAGAATTCCCAAGAATTCCCTGGACCGATGGAACCCCTGGATGTTCCCCCCATTCCCTGCACACAGATCCCGGTTTGGGAATGATTTATTAACCCCTGCCAGGAATTCCTGGCTCAGATCCAGGCAGATCCACACCCGGCACCGGCGATCCCCGGGTTTTGCTCCATCCCGGTGGGATCCGCGTCCGGAATATTCCGGAATATCCCCGGGAACCCCAGGCTGAGCTCAGGGGCACCCGCCTTGCGCGGATCCCAAATATTCCTCCAGCAGCATTCCCAGCTCCGCGTTCTGCCGCTGCAGGGCCGTGGCCTCGGAAAACAGCTCGGATCTCCGGGTCAGCACTTTGCTGGGAAAGGAACGCCGGGAAAATCCATGGAAAATCCCTGGAACTGTCCCAGTGCCGCCCCCACCCCGCCAGGCACTCACTGGTATTCCACGAGCGCGGCTCCGAGCGCGTCCCAAAGCTTGAGTTTGCGCTGGGGAATGATGCGGGTCATGGCTTCCCAGTATTCCCCGTCCCTGGAATTGTCCCGCACGTCCTGGAGTTCCCTGGGGGGCCCCTCGTCCCTGGGGAGGGGGAACAAATCCTTGGGATGGAGAAAAAATCTTTGGGATGGAGAACCAATCCTTGGGATGGAGAAAAAATCTTTGGGATGGAGAACCAATCCTTGGGATGGAGAAAAAATCTTTGGGATGGAGAACAAATCCTTGGGATAAAGGGAAAAAACCTTGGGATTGAGAACAAAACTTTGGGATGGAGAGGAAACAGTTGGGATGGAGAACAACAATTTGGGAATAGTGGACAAATCTTTGGGATGGAGGAAAAAACCTCGGGACGGAGAACAAACCTTTGGGATGGAGAAGAAATTCTTGGCATGGAGAAGAAACTCTGGGAATGGACAACAAATTCCTGGGATGGAGAGCAAATACTTGGGAAGGAGAACAAATCTTCAGGATGGAGAGCAAATATTTGGGAATAGTGGAAAAATCTTTGGGATGGAGATCAAAACCGTGGGAGGGAGAGCAAATCCTTGGGAATAGAGAAGAAATCCTTGGGAATAGTGGACAAATCCATGGGATAGAGATCAAAACCATGGGATGGAGAACAAATCCTTTGGATGGAGACCAAATCTTTGGGATGGAGAACAAATCCTTGGGATGGAGACCAAATCTTTGGGATGGAGAACAAATCCTTGGGATGGAGAAAAAATCTTTGGGATGGAGAACAAATCTTAGGGATAAAGGGAAAAAACCTTGGGATTGAGAACAAAACTTTGGGATGGAGAGGAAACAGTTGGGATGGAGAACAATAATCTGGGAATAGTGGACAAATCTTTGGGATGGAGGAAAAAACCTCGGGACGGAGAACAAACCTTTGGGATGGAGAGAAAATTCTTGGCATGGAGAAGAAACTCTGGGAATGGACAACAAATTCCTGGGATGGAGAACAAATCTTTGGGATGAAGAACAAATCTTTGGAACAGGGAACAAATATTTGGGAATAGTGGAAAAATCTTTGGGATGGAGATCAAAACAATGGGATGGAAAGCAAATCCTTGGGAATAGAGAAAAAATCTTTGGGAACAGAGAACAAATCTTTGGGAACGGTGGACGAATCTTTGGGATGGAGAACAAATTCTTGGGAATAGAGAACAAATCCTTGGGAAGGAAAACAAAACTTTGAGATGGAGAACAAATCCTTGGGATGGAGAAGAAAAACCTTGGGATGGAGAGCAAATTTTTGGGAATAGTGAACAAATATTTGGGATGGACAGTAAATCCATGGGATGGAGAACGAATCTTAGGGATAGACAAAAAACCCCTTGGCAATTGGGAATTCAAAATTGGGAAACAAATCCTTGGGATGGAGAAAAAAATCCTTGGGATAGAGAAAAACACCCTGGGAATAGAGAACAAATTTTTGGGAATAGTGAACAAATATTTGGGATGGACAGTAAATCCATGGAATGGAGAGAAAATCCATGGGATGAAGAATGAGTCTTAGGGATAGAGAACAAATCATTGGCAATGGGGAATTCAAAATCTGGAAACAAATCCTTGGAATGGAGAAAAAATCTTTGGGATGGAGAAAAAAATTTAGGGATGGAGAGGAAATCCTTGGGATGAAGAACAAATCCTTGGGAAGGAAAAGAAGCTCTGGGAATGGACAAGAAATTCCTGGGCTGGAGAACAAATCCTCAGGATGGAGAACAAATTTTTGGGATGAAGAACAAGACTTGGGGATAGAGAACAAATCCTTGGCAACTGGGAATTCAAAACTGGGAAACAAATCCTTAGGAAGGAGAACAAAACTTTGGGATGGAGAGGAAAACTTCGGGATGGAGAGAAAATATTTGGAATGGAGAACAAATCCTTGGAGTGGAGAACAAATCCTGGGATGGAGAAAAGATTTTTGGCATGGAGAAGAAACTCTGGGAATGGACAACAAATTCCCGGGATGGAGAACAAATCTTTGGGATAGAGAGCAAATCCTTGGGATGGAGAAGAAATTTTTGGCATGGAGAACAAATCCTTGGAGTGGAGAAAAAAACCTTGGGAAGGAGAGAAAATCTTTGGGATGGAAAACAAATTTTTGGAATAGAGAACAAATCCTTGGAATAAAGAACAAACCCTTGGGAAGGAGAACGCACTCCATCATTTTCTCCCTTCCCAGCCCCTGGATCCTCTCCTGCCTGGTTCATTCCCAGCCTTGGGAATCTCCCGATCCCTCAGGGAAGGTTGGGAATCTCTTTCTCCAAGCAGAACCACCCCGGAGCTCCCGGGACATTCCCTGGATCCCGGTTTGGCTCCATCCCGGCGCCCCCAGCCCCGGCCCGTCCCCGTTCCCACCTCAGCTTGGGAAATTCCTGCAGGAATTCCCTCAGGATGGTCAGGACGTGATCCACTTGGATGGCCGGGATGAGAGCGGGGGCTCCGTGCTGGGAATGGGATCGGCTCTTCCCGGCCGGATCCTCGCCATCTTCCACCTGGCTGACCTGGAGGGAGCAAAGCCGGGTGTGGAATTTTCGGGATGAAGGCGCCAATTTTTCCTTCCTGGAATTTTTTGGGATGCATTCCCGGGGATTTCTGGGGTCTCCCCTGGCGATCCTACCGGGATCCTGGGCGCGTGGTGGGTTTCGTAGTCCAGGAAAAAATCCACGAGGGCGCGCAGCTCGTCCTCGTCCTCGATGTGGAGGGCCTGGAAAAGCGGGAATTCCGTCAGGGTTCCTTGGGATGGGGATGGAAAGGAAAGGAAAGGAAAGGAAATTTCAAGGAAAGGAAATTTCAAGGAAAGGAAAGGAAAGGAAAGGAAAGGAAAGGAAAGGAAAGGAAAGGAAAGGAAAGGAAAGGAAAGGAAAGGAAAGGAAAGGAAATTTCAAGGAAAGGGAAGGAAAGGAAAGGAAAGGAAAGGAAAGGAAAGGAAAGGAAAGGAAAGGAAAGGAAAGGAAAGGAAAGGAAAGGGAATTTTCCAGGTGCAGAGGAAATGCCGGAATTCTGGGAAATGCTGGATAAGGAAGGAATGGTGGGAAGGGGGTGATGTGGGATAGCCATGGAATATCAATGGATGGGAAAGTCTGGGAAGAGGCTGGAGGAGCCCTGGAGGTGTTTAAAATGTTGGGATGGGCTGGAGCTGGGAATTCGGGAATCATGGAATGTTCTGGGTGGGAAGGGACCTCACAGCTCACCCCATTCCATGGGAAGGGGCACCTTCCATGATCCCAAAATTTGGGCACTGCCAGGGATCCAGGGATTCTCTGGGAATCCCAGCCCAGCCAGGAATCCCTTCCCAAGATCCCACCATCCCAAGCTCCCCTTTCCCACTGGAAGCCATTCCCTGCCTCCTGCCCCTCCAGCCCTTGCCCAAATCCCAGCTCTCCTTTCCCTCTGGAAAAGGCTCCAAGGATTCCCTGGATCCTTCCCTGATCCAGCTGCACATTCCCAGCTCTCCCAGCCTGACATTGGATCCAGCCCCATCCTGATTCCTCCTTGAGAAGGAATTTTGGGATCCAGGGGCTTCACTGGGAGTTCAGGACTCCAGGGAGGGTCTCCCTTCCCTTTTCCATCCCCAAATTCCATAAAAATCCCTTGGGATGGATCCTGAGTGTCCTTGATCCCAGAATCCCGGAATGGTTTGGGATGGGATCCATGGACCTTCAATCCCATCCCAGGGACACTTCCCACCATCCCAGGGTGATCCTAATCCACCCTTGGACACTCCCAGGGATTCTCTGGGAATTCCAGCCCAGCCAGGAATCCCTCCCCAAGATCCCACCATCCCAAGCTCCCCTTTCCCACTGGAAGCCATTCCCTGGCTCCCTCCATCTCATTCCCAAATTCCAGCTCTCCTGGAGCCCCTCGAGGGCTTCCCTGGATCCTTCCCTGATCCAGCTGCACCTTCCCATCCCCACCTCCTCCTGCTGCTCAGCATTCCAATCCCGGGAGATCCCATCCCATCCCATCCCATCCCATCCCATCCCACCTCAAAGATGTTCGGAGCTGCTGGACGTCATTCTTGGGCCCCACCACCTCCCTCAGCGGCTTCAGGAGTTTGTTCTCCAGCAGGAAAGCCTTGGGAAAAACGCCGGGAAGAGGCGGCAGGGTGAGAATTCCCAGCCCTCATTCCAAAGGGATTCACAAAAAAAAAAAAAAAAAAAAAAAAAAAAAAAAAAAAAAAAAAAAATCAGGATTTGGGGCTGATCCTGGATCCCGAGATCCAGCAGCGCTCACCCGATTCCTCGCTCATGACCTCCAGGATTCTCCGGAGCGTTTTGCTGGGGAATTCCTGGCCGGGATGTGATTCTGTCGTCCCTCTTTTCCTGGTTTTCCTTCCCTCCCTCGCCGCTCTGGGCTCCTTTCCTCCCACTCTTCCTCCCTTCCTGCTCCGCTTTTCCAGGCTTGTTCCCTGAAAATCGGAGAGGGAAAAATCACGGCAGGAATATCCCTTGGAATGAGCCAACACAGGGATGGCAACTCCAGGAAAATCCCACCTGGAGCAAGATCCCAAACCGTGGGAACCCCTGGAAAACAAAGCTCCTGGGATGAGAGCTAAATCCTGGGAAAACCAGGAAAAACCCAGCGGGAATATCCTTGGAATGAGCCAGTTCAGGGATGGCGACTCCTGGAAGAGCTCAAACCGTGGGAATCCCTGGAAAACAAAGCTCCTGAGATGAGAGCTCCTTCTTGGAACTGGGAAAACTGGGAAAAATCAGAGCAGGGAACATCCCTTGGAATGAGCCAGCTCAGGGATGGCGACTCATGGAAGATCCCAACTGGAGCAAGATCCCAAACTGGGAATAGCTGGAAAACAAAGCTCCTGGGATGAGAGTCGGTTCCTGGAAATGGAAAAAACTGGGAAAACTGGGAAAAATCATTGGAATCAGCAAACTTGGGGATGGCAATTCCTGGAAAATCCCACCTGGAGCAAGATCCCAAACCGTGGGAAGCCCTGGAAAATAAAGCTCCTGGGATGAGAGCTAAATCCTGGGAAAACCAGGAAAAACCCAGCGGGAATATCCCTTGGAATGAGCCAGTTCAGGGATGGCGACTCCTGGAAGATCCCAACTGGATCAAGATCCCAGCTGTGGGAATCCCTGGAAAACAAAGCACTCTTCTGGAAAACTGGGAAAAACCCAGTGGGAATATCCCTTGGAATGAGCCCACTCAGGGATGGTGACTCCAGGAAAATCCCAAACAGCGGGAATCCCTGGAAAACAAAGCTCCTGGGAAAACTGGGAAAAATCATGGCGGGAATATCCCTTGGAATGAGCAAACTCAGGGATGGCGACTCATGGAAGATTCCAACCGGAGCAATATCCCAAACCGTGGGAATCCCTGGAAAACAAAGCTCCTGGGATCACAGCTGCTTCTTGGAACCGGGAAAACTGGGAAAAATCATAGCAGGAAAATCCTTTGGAATGAGCCAACTCAGGGCTGGCGACTCCTGGAAAATCCCACGTGGAAATCCCAAGGATTGGCGGGACACGAGAACCTTCCCAAGGCGGGAAATTCCCAAGGGATTCAGGGATTCCCACCTTCCAGGAGCTTCGTGGCCAACTCCATGGCCTCCCTCTTCTCCCGGACGTCTCCCAGGGGTCCCACGTTGTCCATGAACCACAACCGGGGCTCTTCCCACGGCATTCCCAGCTGCTGCACGTGGATGATCCGATCGGCGTCCAGAACCTCCCGGATCAACGCCTTGGCCTCCTCCTCGTTCACGATCCAGACCTGCCGGAAGCGATCGACGCGGCTGCGCGCCAGGTGCCTGGAAAAATATGGAAAAAATCCCAATCGTTCTTTTATTTAAATTTTAGAAGCTGTAATAAAATTGTAAAAAATAGCAATAAAGTTAGAGAAATAAAAATGTGGATCATTCAGATTTAGGATAATGAAATTGTAATAAAATTCCTCGTTCACGATCCAGACCTGCCGGAAGCGATCGACGCGGCTGCGCGCCAGGTGCCTGGAAAAATATGGAAAAAATCCCAATCGTTCTTTTATTTAAATTTTAGAAGCTGTAATAAAATTGTAAAAAATAGCAATAAAGTTAGAGAAATAAAAATGTGGATCATTCAGATTTAGGATGATAAAATTGTAATAAAATTGTAATAAAATTGTAATAAAATTGTAATAAAATTCCTCGTTCACGATCCAGACCTGCCGGAAGCGATCGACGCGGCTGCGCGCCAGGTGCCTGAGGGAAACATGGAAAAAATGCAAATAACTTGTTTTTTTAAAATTTTTAGAAGTTTAATAGTGATAGAATTGTAAAATAGTAATAAAAATCCGGACAAGTAGGATTTAGGACAATATGAGACAATAAAAACAAAGAATTATGGACTGTCTGGGTACTTTTTCTGGGAAAAATAAGCCCGAAAAAGGACCCACGTTAACAGAGGATTAACCCTTTAAAACAATCACCTGTTGCATATTCATACATCTCATAAATTATGCATAAATTAAATTTAAATAAACATAGGATTTTGTCTGGTCATCATCAACTTCCTCCTCTTCAGCATATATACATATTATCTATATATCCTCCTCTTCAGCATATATATATTATATATATATATAATATTTTAGATAATAACTACATAATTCCTATAATAATTGTATAATAATATCATTTATATTATAATTCATATATATGATACAATTTATTTTCCTCCAAAAGAGCAATAAATTCATTTTCTCTGAAAGATTTAGGTGTCCTGTGGCTGTGAGAATGCCTCATTCCTTTCTTAAAAAAATGCAAAGTTTCACATACAAAGTTTCTATTTTAACATTATTTATATATTTATATATATATATATATATATAATATTGTATTATATTGTATTATATTGTATTATATTGTATTATATTGTATTATATATATTATATTACATTACATTCTATTCTATTCTATTCTATTCTATTATATTATATTTTATTATATTATATTATGTTGTATTATAGTATATTATAATAGTTTATAGTATATTATATTTTACTGTATTATATTGCATTATAGTATATTATATTATATTATATTATCATTATATTATATTATAGTATAAATTATGATATATGACATATTATATTATAGTATATTATTAGTATATATTATATTATATTATATTATATTATATTATATTATATTATGCTACATTACATTACATTACATTACATTGCATTACATTACATTATATTATATTATATTATATTATATTATAGAGATTATATATTATAAAATATAAAAAATATAAAATATTTTTATATATTTATATAATGTGTCATATATATAGCATTTATATATAATATAAATTTATATATTTGGTATATATAATATATAGTAGATATTGAATGTATATAAAATATATTTTAAAATATCTACATATAATAATATATATAATTTAATATATAATATATATTATATTATATATAATATGTATTATATAATATATAATATGTATTATAATACCTTTATTATAATATTATATATTTATATGTACTTAACCCCATTACTTAAAAATTATTGCAGCATAACTTGCTAACATAACACACATAGTATAATACGTGTTAATTAATTAATTAATTAATTAATTGGAAAATTAATTTTAATATTTCATATCATTCCTATTGTTCCATATTGCTAGTTACAGGAAGCCAAAATGAAAACCACACATTTTTCGCAGGCAGGGATCCGCCCGGGCTCGGCATTCCGAGCGTTCCCCACCTCATCCTGTCCCGCGTCTCCTGGAACTGCCCCACCACGCGCTCCAGCTCCAGCTCCAGGCTCTGCTTTTCCTCCTGGAATTTCGCCTCCTGCTTGGCCATTTTGTCCTTCAGCAGCTCCAGGGTGGTCCTGAACCTGGGAAGGGACGGAGAGCCCGGATTTTGGGACGTGGGAAAAGCTTTGGCACGGGACGGGATTCCCTCGGGATGGGTTTTACCGGTTGATTTTCCGTTTCTGCAGGGATCGCAGCGTGGAATTCTCTATGTCCAGCTGCCGGAGCACGTCCAGGTTGTAGTCAGCTTCACCTGGTTCAGGTGGTACATGCCCCTTCATCTGGCGCAGCTTCCTCTCCAGGCCTGGAATTCCGTGGAGGGGGGTGGAAAAATCACAAAAAAATTCCATGGAAATTCAATGGAATTCCACGGGAAAAGCCCCACAAAGAATTCCATGGAAATTCCATGGGAAAACCCCACAAAAACAACCCCTTCATCTGGCGGAGCTTCCTCTCCAGGCGCTGGAATTCCGTGGAGGGGGGGAAAAAAAATCACAAAATATTCCATGGGAATTCAATGGAAAAAAAAACCCCACAAAGAATTCCATGGAAATTCCATGGGGAAAAAACCCCCACAAAGAATTCCATGGAAACTCCATGCACTTTCCCATGGAAATTCCATAGAATTCCATAGGAAAAACTCACAAAGGATTCCATGAGAATTCCATGGATTTCCATGGGAAAAACCCACAAAGGATTCCACAGGAATTCCATGGGAGAAAATCCCACAAAGACAAACCCACCAAACCAACCCCTTCATTTGATGGAGTTTCCTCTCCAGGCGCTGGAATTCCATCGAGGGGGTGGAAAAATCACAAAAAATTCCATGGAAATTCAATGGAATTCCATGGAAAAAAAACCCACAAAGAATTCCATGGAAATTCCATGGGAAAACCCCACAAAAACAACCCCTTCATCTGGCGCAGCTTCCTCTCCAGGCGCTGGAATTCCATGGAGGGGGGGAAAAATCACAAAAAAATTCCATGGAAATTCCATGGAATTCCATGGGAAAAAAAACCCACAAAGAATTCCATGGGAATTCCATGGGAAAACCCCACAAAAACAACCCCTTCATCTGGCGGAGCTTCGTCTCCAGGCGCTGGAATTCCGTGGAGGGGGGGAAAAAAATCACAAAATATTCCATGGGAATTCAATGGAAAAAAAAACCCCACAAAGAATTCCATGGAAATTCCATGGGGAAAAAACCCCCACAAAGAATTCCATGGAAACTCCATGGGGAAAAAACCCCCACAAAGAATTCCATGGAAACTCCATGCACTTTCCATGGAAATTCCATAGAATTCCATAGGAAAAACTCACAAAGGATTCCATGAGAATTCCATGGATTTCCATGGGAAAAACCCACAAAGGATTCCACAGGAATTCCATGGGAGAAAATCCCACAAAGACAAACCCACCAAACCAACCCCTTCATCTGGCGGAGCTTCCTCTCCAGGCGCTGGAATTCCGTGGGGGGGGGGGGGAAATCACAAAGAATTCCATGGAAATTCAATGGAATTCCACGGGAAAAGCCCCACAAAGAATTCCATGGAAATTCCATGGGAAAACCCCACAAAAACAACCCCTTCATCTGGCGGAGCTTCCTCTCCAGGCGCTGGAATTCCGTGGAGGGGGGGGAAAAAAATCACAAAATATTCCATGGGAATTCAATGGAAAAAACCCCCACAAAGAATTCCATGGAAATTCCATGGGAAAAACCCACAAGGACAAACCCACAAAAACAACCCCTTCATCCGGCGCAGCTTCGTCTCCAGATACTGGAATTCCATGGGGAGAAAAAAGAAAATCCCAAGGAATTCCATGAAATTCCATGAGAGAAAATACCACAAGGACAAACCCACAAAAACAACCCCTTCATCTGATGGAGTTTCCTCTCCAGGTGCTGGAATTCCACAGGGAAAAATAAAAAATTCCCAAAGAATTCCATGGACATTCCATGGATTTCCATGAGAAAAAATATCACAAAAAATTCCATGGAATTCCATGGGAAAATCCCACAAAGACAAACTCACGAAAACAACCCCTTGATCTGACTGAGTTTCCTCTCCAGGAACTGGAATTCCATGGGGAAAAAATAAAAAAAATCAGAAAGAATTCGATGGAAATTCCATGGGGGGAAAAAAAAATCCCAAAGAATTCCATGGAAATAACATGGGCAAAAAAAATCCCAAAGAATTCGATGGAAATTCCCTGGGGAAAAAGAATTCCATGGAAATTCCATGGGGGAAAAAACCCCACAAAGAATCCATAGAAATTCCATGGATTTCCATGGGAAAAACCCCACAAAGAATTCCATGGAAATTCCGTAGATTTACATGGAAAAAAACCTACAAAGAATTCCATGGAAATTCCATGGGGAAAAAATTCCATGGATACTCCATAGACTTCCATGGAGAAAAAAACCCACAAAGAATTCCATGGAAATTCCATGGGAAAAGCCCCACAAAGAATTCCATGGAAATTCTATGGATTTCCATGGGAAAAACCCCACAAAGAATTCCAAGGAAATTCCATGGAAATACCATGTGAAAAATCCCACAAAGAATTCCATGGATTTCCATGGGAAAAAAGCCACAAAGAATTCCATGGTAAATTCCATGGAAAAAAAGCCCACAAAGAATTCCATGGAAATTCCATGGGAAAAACTGCACAAAGAATTCCATGGATTTCCATGGGAAAAAAACCGCAAAGAATTCCATGGAAATTCCATGGAATTCTATCACAAAAAACTGCACAAAGAATTCCATGGGAATTCCATGGATTTCCATGGGGAAAAATACCCACAAAGAATTCCATGGAAATTCCATGGAAAAAAAAATCCCAAAGAATTCCATGGAAATTCCATGGAATTCCATGAGAAAAAAACCCACAAAGAATTCCATGGAAATTCCATGGGAAAAACCGCACAAGGAATTCCATGGAAATTCCATGGAATTCTATCACAAAACACCCACAAATAATTCCATGGGAATTCCATGGATTTCCATGGGGGAAAAAAAAAATCCCAAAGAATTCCATGGAAATTCCATGGGGAAAAAAACCCCAAAGAATTCCACGGAAATTCCATGGAATTCCATGAGAAAAAAACCCACAAAGAATTCCATGGAAATTCCATGGGAAAAACCGCACAAGGAATTCCATGGATTTCCATGGGAAAAAACCACAAAGAATTCCATGGAAATTCCATGGAATTCTATCACAAAAAACTGCACAAAGAATTTCATGGGAATTCATGGATTTCCATGGGGAAAAAAAAAAATCCCAAAAATTCCATGTGAAAAAAAACCCACAAAGAATTCCATGGAAATTCCATGGGAAAAAAAATCCCAAAGAATTCCATGGAAATTCCATGGATTTCCATGGGAAAAACCCCACAAGAATTCCATGGAAATTCCATGGGAAAAACCGCACAAGGAATTCCATGGATTTCCATGGGAAAAAACCACAAAGAATTCCATGGAAATTCCATGGGAAAAAAAATTTGAAATAATTCCATGGGAATTCCATGGATTTCCATGGGGAAAAAAAACCCACAAAGAATTCCATGGAAATTCCATGGAAAAAACCCCACAAAGACAAGCCTGGAATTTAGGAAAAACCTCTGAAAATTCCAGAAGTGTTTGGATTTCCCAGGAAAAAAAAACTCCAAAACAAAACAATACAGGAATTAAATCCCAGCAGTGCCAAGAGTTTTTTCCCCTTTCCAGAGGATGGGAAAAAGCCAAAATCCAGAGGTGAATTCCCAAAATTCCCACCCGAGGCAGAAATCCAAAGGCAAAAATCCAAAAAACCATCAGGGAATTCCTGCCCACCCTAAATCCCAGCCCCGGCTTCAGTTTTTGCTTCCAGGAATTTTGGTTTTATTTTTGTTTTTGCTTCCAGGAATTTTGGTTTTATTTTTGTTTTTGCTTCCAGGAATTTTTGGTTTTATTTTTGTTTTTGCTTCCAGGAATTTTGGTTTTATTTTTGTTTTTGCTTCCAGGAATTTTGGTTTTATTTTCCCACCTGCAGAGAGAATTCCTGCCCTCATTCCTTAGGGAATTCTGTGTTTGTTCGGATTATTTTTACACTTTTATTGGGATATTTGACACTCATTTGGGTGAAAATATTGGGACATTTTACATTAATTTGGGGAGAAAAATATTCCTAAAATCCTGTATTTGTTGGGACTATTTTTACACTTTTATTGGGATATTATTCATTTGTTTGGGGAAGAAAATATTAGGATATTTTACATTAACTTGGGGAAGAAAATATTCCTAAAATCTTGTATTTGTTGGGACTATTTTTACACTTTTATTGGGATATTATTCATTTGTTTGGGAAGAAATATTAGGATATTTTACATTAACTTGGGGAAGAAAATATTCCTAAAATCTTGTATTTGTTGGGACTATTTTTACACTTTTATTGGGATATTTTACACTTATTTGGGGTGAAAATATTGGGATATTTAACAATTATTTGGGGTGAAAATATTGGGATATTTTACACTTTTTTGGGTAAAAAATATTGGATATTTTACACTTAGTTGGGGAAGAAAATATTGGGATAATTTACATTTATTTGGGGAAGAAAATATTGGGAAATTTTGCATTTGTTTGGGGAAGAAAATATTGGGATATTTTGCACCTATTTAGGGAAGAAAATATTGGGATATTTTACATTTATTTGGGGTAAAAATATTGGGTATTTTACACTTATTTGGGGAAGAAAATATTCCTAAAATCCTCTATTTGTTGGGACTATTTTTACACTTTTATTGGGATATTTTGCACTTATTTGGGGTGAAAATATTGGGATATTTTACATTTATCTGGGGAAGAAAATTTGGGATATTTTACACTTAGTTGGGGAAGAAAATATTGGGATAATTTACATTTATTTGGGGAAGAAAATATTGGGATATTTTACATTTATTTGGGGAGGAAAATATTGGGACATTTTACATTAATTTGGGGAAGAAAATATTCCAAAAATCCTGTATTTGTTGGGACAATTTTTACACTTTTATTGGGATATTTTACACTTCTTTGAGGAAGAAAATATTGGGATATTTTGCACGTATTTGGGGATGAAAATATTGGGATAATTTACATTTACCTGGGGAAGAAAATATTGGGATATTTTACACTTATTTGGGGAAGAAATTATTGGGATATTTTACACTTAGTTGGGGAAGAAAATATTGGGATAATTTACATTTACCTGGGGAAGAAAATATTGGGATATTTGACATTTATTTGGGGAAGAAAATATGATATTTTACATTTATTTGGGGAAGAAAATATTGGGATATTTTACACTTATTTGGGGTAAAAATATTGGGATATTTTACACCTATTTAGGGAAGAAAATATTGGGATATTTTACATTCATTTGGGGAAGAAAATATTCCTAAAATCCTGTGGAAAACTTTCCCTGGAACAACCTGAGGGATTTTTTCCATTGTTATCCCTGCTCCCAAGGCTGCTCCAAAAACCAGGATAAACTTGTGGGACACAAAATTATCTCTGGAGCCTCTCCCAGGAACAGCCCAAGGTTGTTTGTGCTTTTCCGATGTTTTCCCGTCACAGAATTCCCTGGGAATGCGGAGCTCCGGCACGGAGCTGCTTCCATCCCAAAACATTCCGGGAACGTCCCACGCTCCCGAGTTCTCGGGATCTGAGGGTGAGGAGCTGCTGGAGCGGGGCCAGGGAATTCTGCAGGGCTGGGAATGTGCAGCTGCATCAGGGGAGGAGCCAGGGAATCCTTGGGGCCTTTTCCAGAGGGAAATTCGGGATTCCAGAGCCGGGATTTGGGATTTGGGGTGAAGGATGGGGGGGCAGGAGGCAGGAATGGCTTCCGGTGGGAAAGGGGAGCTTGGATGGTGGGAGCTTGGGAAGGGATTCCTGGCTGGGCTGGAATTCCCAGAGAATCCCTGGCAGTGTCC